ATAATAATTAAAAATAAAATTACAAATATGCACGCGCACAAACAATTCTGAGCCAATTGACAGCCTCAGTCTCTCTGCTTCTCTGATGTAACATTGCGTAATGAGGATTGCGCAGATTCCACCAGAAAGTACAGAATCCTAAGCACTGTCACTTTTGTTAAGCACAAACTCCAGCTTTCAAGATCTTACAAGAAAGTGATTAGAGAATGTAATATCTCAGAAATTAGAGCAGGCCTTGCAGTGAATGAAGGGATGGGGTTTCATTGCTGTTCTGCTCTTACCTTGTTCTTTTCCCAAGGTCATTATTTCCTGCCTGCTGTAAGCATTACCCTTTGTTTCCTGATCTTCTCTGTTTCCATTCTCACAATCCCAGCAAGAGAGAAACCGGCAGTGCTATTTTTCTAGAAAAAAGAGGTGCTGGAACTCACCACGAACACCTCCCTTGTTCTCTTATAAAGGCAATGCCAGAACTGTTCTGGCGAGTTCCAGCTGGAAAAAAAAGCCCTGGAAACCTGGAAGAATGAACTACAGTGGTACCTTGGGTTAAGAACTTAATTTGTTCCGGAGGTCCATTCTTGACCTGAAACCGTTCTTAACCTGAGGTACCACTTTAGCTAGTGGGGCCTCCCGCTGCCGCCGCATGATTTCTGTTCTCATCCTGAAGCAAAGTTCCTAACCCGAGGTACTATTTCTGGCGGTGTCTGTAAGCTGAAGTGTCTGTAACCTGAAGCGTCTGTAACTCGAGGTACCACTGTAGGTGCAAATATAGGTAGGTGTTGCTCAAACTTCTGTATGGTTAATTTGATATCCCAGCCATAGGCTAGAAATCCCTTTTGTAGGGTAAATAGGAGCCAACTCCTAGGTCCCTTCAGACCGAGGTCCCTTCAGCTCCCCACCCCCATAAAAATATTTGAGGGGGCCAGCCCCCGAGTTGATGGGTATTGACATTCAAATGGTGTGTTTGTGCCGCATCTTGTGATTGTTTATGCAGGGCGGGGCTTACCTGCTCCCCCCCCCCAATATTTTATTCAAGTTGGCACCCCAGCTGCTTTTGAAATTGCACATTGGCCTTGGCCTCTTACCATAACTAGTTCCTGGGTCCGTGAAGGTACAAAAAATGTGTCGCTGTTGTTGTAGCTACCCTGTAAGGTAAAAAAAATAAGTAGTTCCTGCAAACAACGGTGCTTATCTATGGATGTGTTACTGTTTTTATTACTCCAAAGGCCTTGGGCATCTGTAGCTTCAGACACATTCTGAACATATCTACACAAAATCTTCCATGTGATCTCTGAAGTGAATCAGTTTGCTGAGATTGTGATGCTGCGTCCTTTTTCGCTTTTATTTTCAAGTTCTGGTTTTCACTTCTGGTTCCCAAAGCATCCATATACTGCTTTCTCTGCTCTTATGCAAACACTGTAAAGCTTTTTTTCAAAAACCCTGTCACCCTTGCTGTACAGGGAATTTGGGGTGTACAGGAAGGGGTATGAAAACAAGAACAGGATCCAAATGTGGCTTGAAGAATCACACTTTTTTCTTCTTCTTTTAAGCCGAGGGAATGATCCGCCCCTCCACTCCACATTTTTTCTCCTTTTCAGCGAGACCAGAGCTAAATAAGCCACTATCAGTTTCCTACAGATCCTCTAAGAGCCGTTCTCATTCATTATGAAGCCCAAGTTACGGAAGCAATCTTCCTAAGGGCCACTTCCCCAGCTAGAGCGCCTGCTGTGATGTGATTCATGTCCTTTGTGTTCCATGCAGAATCTGGGGATGTTTACGAAAAACGGCTCATCTAAATGCGGCTCGCAATTCCTTTTTTCTTTTTTCCAGAAGAATCTCAATTCGGGAAGGAACGAGAGTTACATCACATCGTACATTAGCTCATTTCCACCCCCAAGAACACATCTGGCCCTGCTTTCACCATCCCAGCAGTTATTAAAAGCGTATAGGAGGAAGGCCAGTCAGAAATCCCAGAGAACATATTTTACAATCTAGCTACTAATGGCTTGGTGGCCCACAATTCCAATTTTCTCCAGTGGAATCTATGCAAATGTGAAGGCAAAGGCCTGAGGTGGAGCTATAAAATGTTTATGAAGCAGCGGTGGAATAATGTCTCTGAATAATTTACACATTTTGCGGGGCAAATGTGATTAGTGATCCTGCTAAATAATTCTGCCTGATGAGGCATCCTGCATAATTCGGAAGCACGTGTCATCCTCCTTTATTTGTTTGCCAGATGTAGCTGTGGCCTTTCCGCTGAAATCCTCAAGGCGACTCACAAAGGAAGAACATTCAAAAGGCGCCGTGAAAATACTTAGAAATCCAGTTGTAAGATTAAAAGCAGCATAAAAGTAAACAACAGTTTGGTAAAATGTACCAGTAAAATAACCATTGGATAGCTCATTTGGTTAAAGCGTGGTGTTGATAATGCCAAGGTTGCAGGTTCAATCCCTGTATGAGACATCTGTATATTCCTGCATTGCAGGGCATTGGACTAGATGATCTTCAGGGTCCCTTCTAACTCTATGATTCTACCATTAAAGTGAGAATTGATCACATCAAAGTGCATTTTAAAACAGATGTACTTTGCCAGCAAAGTGCAGCAAAAGATGAAGATCAGCAGGCTTCTTTTTTTAACAAGGTGGGTGGGTGTCACCATCAAGAATGGGGGAGAAATTTGTTCAGCTAATCTGCACTTCCTAAACCAATACATAGTCAAAAACAGCTATCATTCAAAATTCACAGTTCTCTGAGTTTTTGCAATGCAATTCTCCAACCAAAAAATGTGTAACTGAATTATTTATTTCCATTTATGAATTGCTTCCTATAACACATCTCGAAGCAATTTAGCAATAAAAACATCAACAATGAGAGGATATATAACAATTTCAAATACAACACAGACTGGGATAAAAAAAATTCCACATAAAACACTTGGGGGGGGGGGGGAGTCTCCAAAAGGTGCTGGAAAGGCAACAGAGATCTTACCTTTCTGATGTCTAATGGGAGGGAGTTCCAAAGGGTACATAGAAATGAATTATTTTGTGAGAGGGGGGTTGTTCTTGGTTTGTTTTTGTCTTATTATGTATTTTGTGTTCTCATTTTGTTTTGTTTTTTTGAATTTGCATTTTATTTGTTTGTTAACATTCTTATATTACATAGGTAAATGTTGTCATATTACATTACAGGAGTTACTATAATATAATTTTATATACAAATTTTGTATTTTTAATGTTATGAACCGCTGTGTGATCTTTGGGTGAAGGGCAGTATACAAATAATAATAATAATAAGTATTATGTTGAGGAAAACAATGCACAAAGTACATTATATGGCAGAAAATTCCTTTAAAAACACATGTATTACACAAAATAGCGTCATGCAAGTATTAGGATTAATGTCACAGTAATGTGGTGCTGTAAGGAGGCAGCATGAAATTAAGAAATGGAGAGAAACCCAAAATTGACAAATTCTCCACCACTGACAATTCCTTACCCACACACAGCTTGATCTTATTTCTCTAAAGCTGTGGTCCCCCACACACACTTAATATGGAATAAGACTACTGGGTCCCCCACTGAGGTAAATATTTGTAAGGTTAAGCTCAGTGCTATTTTTTTTTAGGAAAAAAGTATTACTGGAACTCACCCATGACCACCTCTCTTGTTCTCTTGGAATGGCAATGGTGTACACCTGAGAGGTGCAGGAACTGAGTTCCGGCTGGAAAAAAAAGCCCTGGCTGGCAGGTGGAATGGCCAATCACCTCCTCATCTGACAGACAGGTGACCAATAAAGGGAGGGAGGCGGTCTCTGAGTCTCTGAGGTAACTTGGGCCCAGGCCATATAGACTTTAAAAAGGAATTACCAGCACCTTGAAATGGGCCTGGAAGCAACTGAACCACCAGTTGCCAATAAGCCGTAGCATTCACTTATCACATAAAAAAGTTTAAGCTGCCCCCCAAAGTGATTTAAAAATAAACGAATAAGCCTATTTCCGATTTGCTGGCAACAAGGCCCACAGGCTTTCCTACTGTTATTTCAGGAGCACCTGAATAACAGGGAGCACAAAACGGTAGCCATTTTGCATTCTAGGGTAATGAGCAAAAATTGGTTTTTCAGACCTCTCCCCCCTCCGCCCGCCCCCACCACCGCCAGTCAAAATACATAGTACCTCAGTGACTTTGGCACCTGAAGTAGAAAATCCAACAAGCCCCATGTTGGTTTGCATTTCTTAGTGCAGAAAGTATTGATCTGATGTGTAGAGATTTTTCCTATTCTGGTTAATACAAGAGGATCCAAGAAGCTACTAGAAGCTTCTCTGTGTAAGAGAAGAAGACAGAAGGGTCATGATTGTTTGGGTTATACCTTCAGAGAAGCTGAGTACAGCTGGCTTGAAATGGTTCTCTTATCTCTTCCAATTAAGGTCATGCTGACTATAAATATAGGCCAGAAGGAGCCTAGATTTTAATTTCTCTTTCTATCCCTCTTCCTTCTGGTGTGGTGTTCATAGTATGCTTAGCGTTAAGGTTTAGTATTGTTATAAGTTTATAAGTTCTTATAAGTGCTGCAACTTGATTTTTATGGAATGTGCCAATCCTGAATGTACTGGATTTGTGACCATTATGCTTATTTGCCTTCAGTAGCAAGTAAAGCTCTGCTGAATGAAGTACAATTGCCTCTGGTCTATTTTTTTGGAACTCTGCATTGCGTTTTAAGTTTTTCCTCCACACGTATGACACACCTTTCCCCTCTTCTTGGCTGCAAAAAATACAATAAATCAAATAACATGTTTTCCTTTTGTGACACCCCAAAATCAGATACCTGAGGCTGCTGCCTCATTTTGCCTAATGGTCAGGTAGCCTATTTCACAGAGCATATTCCTAGTCCAGTACTCTAACCATTACACTGCCCTGGATGTCCAAAATAAAAATTAGCAAACACACATTTGTGTTGTGGGCCTGAAGGAAGGTGAGGACAGGTGACCTCACCTAGGCCCGAAGTCACCCCCCACCAAAGCAGGCTCAAAGCTTTTCAAAGCTTTTCAAAATCATTTTATCAGCAGCTAAGCATCAGAAACATTCCGCTCTGCTGTAACAAAAGGTAGAGAACAGTCCATTGTTTCTCAGGCCTTTCTCATGCCTTCTGGCCTTGCTAAAGAACCACACTGCAACTTACTTTCTGTCCGGGAACCATGCCAGAACAAGAGATTGAAACATATCTGAACACTCTGAAACCCCTTTCCTGGGAAGGGCGCCAAGAGTCCAATAGTCCCAAGACAGCTTTCTGTTCATGCTCAGAGGAACTCATGGGGCAGGACTCTGGAGAAAGGGGGAGGGAACTAGAGAAAGGGGGAGGGAACTAGAAAGTGCTTGTGCACATGACTGTGAACTTCGTGCATGCTTTTTGTGACTTATCACACTTGCTCCTTCTCCCAGTTCATGGATGGTAGAAATAAAGCCTTTTCTCCGAAACTATTCCTTGAGTGTCTGTTGACTCCCACTTCCCTTTCCCAGGCGCAATATTTTTCCCACCAGAGGGCAAAGCCTCATAAGGCTACAGGCCTACACTCCTTACCTAGTGATGTCCCCGCAAAGCTTTGCTGCTGTTCTCCTTTAGGTGGACATAGCAGGAATAAAAGGCATTGTTGTTGTTAATTTGTACCCTGCCCACCCGAATGAATTGCCCCAGCCACTCTAGGCGGCTTCCAGCATATAGAAAAACATAGTAAACATTACACCTTAAAAAGCTTCCCCATACAGGGCTGCCTTCAGATGTTTCCTAAATGTTACTGGTATATAATTACTTATCTCCTTAACTTCTGATGGGAGGGCGTTCCATAGGGTGGGTGCCACAACCGAGAAGGCCCTCTGCCTGGTTCCCTGTAGCTTCATTTCTTGCAGTGTGAGCACTGCCAGAAGGAAGGAAGAACTCCATGTATCCAGCCTTGAGCCCCATCAGGGGAAAAGGTGGGGTAGAAAGAAAGAAAGAAAGAAAGGGGAAAGGGAAAGGAAAGGAAAGGAAGAAAGAGCCCCTGTCCCTAAGCAGCCAAGCTGACAGATTATTCTGTCTGAAAATAAAAGGGGCCATGAATCTCTTTTGCTATCACCCTGTCAAGCTCTAGTGTGCAAATGATAGCTGACAACTGCACTGAGAGAAGCTTGGATGAAAGCGCCTGTATCGGGGTGGAAACTTCAAAGGAAGAGAAGGCAAAGGATACGGAGGGCTTTCTCCATTTCATCCCTGCCCAGGCTTGCCTGAAGATTGCTAGAGAAAGCTACATCCAGCCTTGAAAGGAGAGGATGGCGTGGGGCATTACGATAAGGAAATCAAATGTTTCCAGCACTTAAAAAAAACAACCCCGAAAGATGTTCAACTGGCGCAGCCTTTAATGATAAACCAGTCCATCCTAAATGACAGTTCCATATGCCGTGTGTTGCAACACGGCTCCCAGCCCACGCCTGAAGGGCAAGGGGAAAAGGAGTGCGTCTAATAGAAATTTAATTCACCCACTTAGGCACGCTTCAAATGTTAGCGGTTCCACCAGTTATACTCGGATCACTGCAGGAAAACAGATGACATTCAAATCAAAACATGAACGTCTTCTTCCTCATGGTGAAGGGCAGAGCCTAAAGACATTAAGAAGAATCAAAGGCGTAAAACAAAAAACCCAAACTAGAATGTTTACTGAATAGGACGTCCCTATGAACGCAGTGTGACTTGCTTCTGAGTTAAACATACCTTGGTACAAGTTAATAAGTTTCGGTGATGCAATGGCTTTAATAGACACATGATGAAGAGCTGTTTGTTGCTCTATCTGTTTTGGAGCACTTCCGAGACAAACGTGGCAATTAGAATCCATTTCTTAATAGATGACAACGTATTCTTGGCTTTACCGACACCTGGGGAGACTGGTTTTGTAAATTATGGATTTTAAAAGCTTAATGTGTAGCTACACATTTAAAGCTTAAGCAGTATATAAACAAAGAAGGCTCAAGGAAAACAGCAGGCGGGCTTAGTTCAAAGTGTACGCTAGCATTTAAGAACTGCACAGCATCTGTGGCTAGTGATTACTTTTCGAGATTTGAATGTATATGGCAAGCATTTGTGACTACACAGTGAACTATTATTCTATATGTGGAGGAGCCATGTAAGAACATAAGAAGAGCCTTATTTCCCCCCCCTCCATAAATATATTGTGTACTTTTGCTAATATTGTGGCTCTCCAACCTCTAGCCTGCTGATACCTCTCTTTTGCTTGCAGAGGTGGTGCCATTTTGGATCCAGACTACACTCAGAGAATGTCTACTGTTTATATTGATATGTTACTGTATAGTAAAGGTAAAGGTACCCCTGCCCGTACGGGCCAGTCATGTCCGACTCTAGGGTTGTGCGCCCATCTCACTTAAGAGGCCGGGGGCCAGCGCTGTCCGGAGACACTTCCGGGTCACGTGGCCAGCGTGACGAAGCTGCTCTGGCGAGCCGGCACCAGCGCTGCACACGGAAACGCTGTTTACCTTCCCGCTATAAAGCGGTACCTATTTATCTACTTGCCCTTAGGGGTGCTTTCGAACTGCTAGGTGGGCAGGAGCTGGGACCGAAAGACAGGAGCTCACCCCGCCGCGGGGATTCGAACCGCCGACCATGCGATCGACAAGCCCTAGGCGCTGAGGTTTTACCCACAGCGCCACCCGCGTCCCTACCGTATAGTATAGTACAGTAAACCCACAACTTATGTGAGGGTTCAGTTCCTAGGAACTGTGTGCAAATGCAAAAATGAGTAAAGTCAGGAACTCCAACACCTCCTAAACTCCCACTGTAAAAAAAAACCTAGCGCTTACTCTCAGACCTTCCAGATCACCTCACCCTCAGATCACCTCCTCGCCTTACTTTCAGACTACCTTCGTTTGCTCTCTGTTCTTGCTAGGCCCTATTTCACTCTCCAGATAATCCATGTATCACTATTGGAGTGATTATTTTATTTTATCTTTTTCCACACATAAAAATGCATGTAAGAGAATTTGTTGGGTAGCCAGTTTCTACCCGCATTGATTCAGTTGCTGTGCTTTCTTTTCACTGTTCGGAGTGGGACTGAAGCTGCTGACACAAGCTGGCAATAACCTGCCAGCAGTCTCCAAACAATATGTCACTATGTTCCCCCCTCCCCCAACGACTGTACAGGAGTAGCTCCCTAACAAGGCACCAGCTGTTAAGAGAACTTGTGACAAGTAAATTGAAACTATAATGGAGACAATATTGTAGTTGCATGCATTACCTAATTGATGCTTGATGTGCTCCTGGGGGATTTGAAAGCATCCATTAGTCTTCACCTTGCTGAAACAAGGGGTTTCTCTCTCCACCTGCAACCCATCCCCCCTGCTGGGAGCCAAATGCGGTTTCACATTGTAGTGACATGCTCACTATTGAAAAGGGAATGTGTAATGGGGTTGTGAGCAAGCTAAGTCACCTCATCTGGCATCAGTCAGCTCTTTTGTCTTCCAAGAACACATTTTGCACTCCTAAGCACAAATATGATTGTAAGCAAGACATCCACAAAGCCAGCCTGCCTGCAGTTTTAGACAGTGAGCCAATCAGTTGTCACCATTTTGTTTTCCTTTTGTGTGCATTTCACCAATTCTTCACATGCTTCGTAAATGCTACTAAAAGACCCACCAAATATTATGGAAATGTGTATGGAAATATGTTGGCTGTGGGTCATGTCTGGTCATTTGTTTTTGATCCTTTGCTTTGAGGCCTGTTAGGTATGTGTCTTTGCCCATTCCCTTAAAGCAGGGGTGCCCAAACTTTTTTCAAAGTGGGCCAGATTTGATGAAGTGAACATGCGTGAGGGCCGACCAAAGTTACTGAGCTTTTTTGGGGGATTTTACCCCAGGACATATACTGTCATGGGGGCCGGATTAAATCAACCAGCAGGCTGTATTAGGCCCCCAAAACGGACTTTGGACAGGCCTGCCTTAAAGTGTGGTGATAACAGTGGTTGCTAGGCAAGCGAATAGGTTTGAGAAGAGGAGAATTGGTACTGTTATGAGTTTGTGTGCGCCAGATCTTTTAACCCCTGGACCAAACAAATGTCAAAATATAAGTCATGTTGATATATAAAGCAGGCTGCCTTCCTGAGGAAGTAATCGCCTGGAGATGTGGGCCATTAAAAGAGGATGAAGCTAAGGGTGGTGACCCATTAAGAAAGCCATAAGGAAAACTAAGACTATGTGCCAGTCAGCAAATGGCCCCACTCTGAGCTATGGGTAGTTAGCAGGAGAAAATGTAAGAGTTTCCAGGAAGGAGTTTCAGGATTGCAGTTAGGGATGATGTAAACTGGAAGGAAATTAGTTGCAGTTTGCAAGTGGCAACAGGCTGGAGAATAGGGTAGTCAGGGCACAACGTGAGCTGTCAGTTTGAATCCAAGGTTTCAAAAATAAGAGAACGGAACCCTCTTGGAGCATAATGGTGTAAGCCCCGCCATCATAGGCTCAGGTTGTATATATGTGTAAATAAACCATATATCCTAAAGACACCACAGTCTCTGTTGTGCCTTGTTTTCCAAAGGAAACACAGACTCAGACTAAAGTGTGCTTGAAACTTCCTGGAATCTTGCACCGCCGTGGAGATTGGGGATGGTGTGTAACACTATATTGGTGGCTTATGCAACACAGCCATGACTGACTTCTTAAAGCAATCATAAACCCCTATGTTGAGGATTACCTTTCCTCTCAGTCTATTGCCTCCCAGTGGTTCAGGCAGACTCACAGACATGCGGACCATTATATATATTTATGATTATAATTAACTACAATACTATAAAGCAGAATCTCCAACCTTTTTGGGCTGTGAGCCCATTTGCAAAGTGGAAAAACTACTAAATGCCACACATATCCTGTGACATATTCAATAGAATAGAAGAGAATGCTTTTTTCAAGCCTGGTTTTTTGGGGTTGGGGGCAGAGGGAGACCTTGGGTGCCAGAGGAGGTCTCTGCAGGCACATGTAACAGCTGTTTCACACATGCACTTCATCAGTGTGTTCTCATCAACACCATGATATACTTTGCAGTAACTCTCATTATCAGAAAGTTGTGATGAATATTGTTAAGACTGCAGAAACAGGAAAAAAGTACATCGATGGACAACTAGTTCACACAGCACCTTCAACTGTAGGTGTGCACACAAGGCCAAGAATGGTGTCATGGAGGAATGTGGGTGGCCAAAATGAACTTGTGAATCTGTGCTCTATTTCTCCTCCTCCTCCAGCCAATGTAAGTGGTTTCTCTTGCTTGCCACATTTGATTTCCACTTCCTTTTTCCTTGTTTTTTTTCCCTTTCGCTGTACAAATTCAGCCTACTCAGTGGTTTGCGGTTCTGCCTTCACACACACACACACACACACACACACACACACATAGCACATTTCCAAGGAGATTCAGTTTGGAGAAGTCGTTCTGGGGCTCTCCTCGCAATCCTGTTTTTTGTTTTTATCACCCTGAACATTTGGTCTCTTCTACAAACTTGGCTAAGTCACTGCTTGCTCCCTGACTCCTGATCATTTGTGAACTAGCTTAAAGACACCAGTCCCAGTATACATCCTTGGGGACTTTCCTCCCACATCCCTCCATTGTGAGAACTGTCCAACTTCCTCTCTGCTTTCACACACCCCTAAGATGCTAATAATAATAAAAAATAAATAATAATAATAATAATAATTTATACCCCACCCATCTGGCTGGGTTTCCCCAGCTACTCTGGGCGGCTTCCAACAAAATATTAAAATACAATAGTCCTTCAGATATTAAAAGCTTCCCCAAACAGGGCTGCCTTCAGATGTCTCCTAAAAGTCTGGTAGTTGTTTTACTCTTTGGCATCTGGTGGGAGGGTGTTCCACAGGGCAGATGCCACTACCGAGAAGGCCCTCTGCCTGGTTCCCTGTAACTTCGCTTCTCGCAGTGAGGGAACCACCAGAAGGCCCTCAGAGCTGGACCTCAGTGTCCAGGCAGAACAATGGGGGTGGAGACGCTCCTTCAGGTATACAGGACCGAGGCCGTTTAGGGCTTTAAAATGTCAGCACCAACACTTTAAAATGTGCTTGGAATCATTGTGTGAATGATTCAACACCAAAATGTGGTAAGTCAGTCCTGATACATTTGGGAGCCCTCCTGCTTGTTCTGCTGTGTGGGGCACTGAACATCTGCTCCAAAGTCCTGATCAGATGGCACCATCATACTTTCCCTCGAGTAGCAGCTTATGCAGACAACCAGTAATTCTAGCCTAGTGCAGAAATACAAAGAGGGAAAGCATTTATTTGCTTACCTCGGCAAGAGAGACAAAGGTTATGGGGGGATGGAGGGAGCTTGCCCTCATATGATCATATGAGTAAGAATCATGTGATAGCAGTCCTCTCTAGTCTCTGCCCCCCCCCCCAAGACCTGTTAGATAAAATTATCAAAAACACCAATGAATAACAAATGCCTTGTTCTTTAGGAGAGTTCCACTGCATCACAAGGAGATGACAGGTCAGAAAATACAGTGGATGAGGTGGTGGCTGGAAATGGGGAAATGAAAGACAGAACTGCTTGTAAAAAAGAAAGTACTGTAAATTAAAGAGAAGCAGGCTCCAATGAGTTACTTCAGAAGGGGAAACAGCACTGCTATCTCATTCTGTGTTCTGCCCAATTCATCAGGAGGTTTGTCTCCCTCAAACTGAATTTTCTATCTCACCTGTATCTCCTCCAATGAGTTTAGTGCAGCATACTTGGGGTTACCCCATTAAATCTTCCAAACAACCCAGCGAGACAGACAGGGCCAGCCCTACCACTAGGCAGAGTGGGACCACAACCTTAGGTGGCTTACTGTGAATGTCATGTAATAGCAGCAATGTTTGTTTGATTGATTTCTAAGATCCCAAGCCAGGTTACACAGTTACCAAGACAACTGCAAAAGTAATCCATAATAAAGCATAAAGCAACAACAATAAAAGAATAAAACGCCTTACTGCTAACATTTGCAAGGAATCATAGAATCATAGAATCATAGAGTTGGAAGAGACCACAAGGGCCATCGAGTCCAACCCCCTGCCAAGCAGGAAACACCATCAGAGCCTTCCTGACATATGGTTGTCAAGCCTCTGCTTAAAGACCTCCAAAGAAGGAGACTCCACCACACTCCTTGGCAGCAAATTCCACTGTCGAACAGCTCTTACTGTCAGGAAGTTCTTCCTAATGTTTAGGTGGAATCTTCTTTCTTGTAGTTTGGATCCATTGCTCCGTGTCCGCTTCTCTGGAGCAGCAGAAAACAACCTTTCTCCCTCCTCTATGTGACATCCTTTTATATATTTGAACATGGCTATCATATCACCCCTTAACCTCCTCTTCTCCAGGCTAAACATGCCCAGCTCCCTTAGCCGTTCCTCATAAGGCATCATTTCCAGGCCTTTGACCATTTTGGTTGCCCTCCTCTGGACCCGTTCCAGTTTGTCAGTGTCCTTTTTGAACTGTGGTGCCCAGGAGGACAAGTGGTGCCCAAGGAGGACAAGTATAAATGCGTACTTCTCTTCCAAAGACCAGGGCAAAGTGTGTTTTAAACAAGTTGTAAAGTGCTTGTGCCAGCTGTACCTTGTGGGAGGGGCTTTCCATAATACAGAAATACCATGGGTGCCATTTTGAGGACCAAAGGCATAAGATTTCAGTGCTGTCATCCTGAAAGAAACAGAACTCATGGTATCTGCCCCTGGAACCTCTTACCAACCACAAAGAAAGTGAGAAGCAATATGCACAAAGTACTATAGAAGACGTAAAGCATGCAAGCCATCAATCACTGCATCAGATTCTGCTTACCAACAGTGGTTTTTATAACAGAGCAAAACAAAAACAGGAGACAAGCACGAATACCACTTAGGTCACAAGAAGCTCAGGTTTACTATGGTGTTGGTACTGGCATGCACAAAAATGCAAGATGACAAGGCTTCATGGACACAATCCAGGTGGCTGCCTCTGGTACATTTCAAGACCTGTATGCTGTACTCCTGCAAATGGACTTCTGTTGATTGGCTTTGAGGAGCAGCCTTTACCTCTGAGTTTCATTAGCCATTTGCTAGGCAGTATATCTGTGCTGTGGCAAGAGGAAGCCTATATTTTGCAAAGGCAACCACACTCACAAACAAAGGAACTGCTGGGCACACAATAGTACAGTAATACAGTTCTCAGGACTGTGGCCCATGCTTACAAGATATTTTCATACTTTTTATGCAGCCTGAAGAACACTTTAAAGTAAACATATGTATTGCAATGGGAAAAAGAGTGTGAAGAACCAACTTCAAATGGCTGAATAGCAGCAGAATAATTAGCAAGCAGCTATGGAAAAATGACCACCTGTAAATCTCACAACAGATGAAACAGCAGGAGCAAGCAAAGTGGCACTCAGCAGGAAAGCTTTCTCCCTCTGCTCTATAAACACATTTTTAGCACTCTTTTCAGTGGTGCAGGTAGGGCTGGGGCAAATTCCAGGACCCACCAAATGATCTGCTGGAGAGCTGCATGTGATGAGCTAAGTGACAAGCAAGGCCTGTGACAGTACCAGGGTCACCATGGGTTGCCACATTTTCTCTCTTAAAAATATTTTAGTCATCAGCCAGCCCCACACATACAAATTCACCAAAATGCTCATTTCATTATTTCTACTTTAAAAATATATTATTCTTTCTAGAACAAAATGATGATCATTCCCCAAGTTAAATATGCTTTTACCATCAAGGCAGCAGAAGCAAACCCAGTTGTATTCCTGTAGCCATGATGCTGCTGTGATTTTAGATCAGTTTAACACATGGAACTACATACGTGCAGCTATTTTTTAAAAAAATAATAGAGCTGTTGTTGGGGTTTTTTTTTTTTTTGTTCTAACGGATCAGTAATATAGAAGCAGCTGTAAAATTTGAGAAAAGAAGATTCATAGAGATGCATCTAGCATCTTCATTGTATAGCTTCTCCCATATGCTGAACATGCACCTCTTGTTATGCCATAATGAATTTGAGTTTTTAAGGTGCCACAAGTCTCTGTCGTTTTTACTAACCCAGCTATGCCTCTAGTAACTTATTCTGAGGATTTTCTTTCTAAAACAAATGAGGATTTTTGGATCATGTCAAGTTGCTATTTCCAAGAAATAAACAGATTGGAAATCCTATGGGATAAACCGCCTTTGAGACACCACAAAGTTGTCTTTGTTTCAGCTTGCATGAGCATGTGAAATGTATTTGTATTAATCTCATGCTTGTCATTCTAGAAATGGCTAGAGGCCTAAGGCAGACAAGGAGTGCCTTTACTAAGCTTTGCTTGGTAAGACAGCTACAGCCTTTTCTGGATTGATAGCTTGACCACAGTTGTGCATAAAGTCATAGCTTTAAGGTTGGATTACTTGAATGCACTCTGGAGACTTCCGCTGGCAGGCTGCTGGGCGGGGGACTTCTGCCAGTATATAACATAGTAATAATTTTATTATTTATATGCTGCCCATCTGACTGGGTTGCCACAGCCCCTCTGGACAGCTCCTAACAGAATATTAAAAACACAGTAAAACACCAACCATTAAAAACTTCCCTGAATAGGGCTACCTGCAGATGCCTTCTAAAAGGCAAATAGTTGTTTTTCTGTTTGACATATTATGGGATGGCATTCCAAAATAATAATATTGTCTGTGAGATCTATACTGGCTGTCAATCTGCTAGAGAGCAGCGTTCAAGTTTTTGGTACCAACATATAAGGTGAGCTATCTAGTTTAACACCAGGTTACAAGGAGGTTTGTGTGTTCTTTTGTATACAAAATTCTGTTTGTATTTTGTGTTTTTCTCTTGTGAACTGCCCTGTGATCTACAAATGAAGTACACAAATTTAATAATAATAATACAGAGACCACTATTTTTTTTTAAAAAAAAACCAACCCCCTACTTTAGCTGTTTTTACTGTATGATTGCGAACTGCCTTGCGACAGTTCACCGTCAACTTCTTATATTGTCTGAGGTTACTTCGGGGCAACTATCTATTCCCTCTCCTTCTGAATTGCGCAGTAGGTAGGAATTAGCAACTGTGGAAACGAGGTGGGAGAGATAGCCTATTGCATAACGCCAGGAGCGCCCAAGCACTAAGATCTCCCGGGCGTCCTCACGCAGCCTTTGGACTCTCGCCGCCCCAAGCCAGCCAAGCCCAGACTTTGCCAAAGCCGCGCGGCCGCCTCCACAGACCGGGCATGCGCGGAACAGCAAGACCCGGGCGCGAGGCGGGCTCCTGCGGATTCGAGTGACGCGTCGGCGGGCCAATCGCCGCTGTCCTTGCGTGAGGGCTTCTCTCTCAAGCATTGGGAGCCAATAAACAGGGCCTCGCATGAGCCGGGCGAGGAGCGCGCGGGGAGCCGAGGGCAGGTAGCGCTGGTCTCCCTAATGGAGAGGCGGCGCTCCTTCTTCTGCAACAGGCCATGGAGGCGTAGTAGGAGCTGGGGAAGCGGGAGAGGTGGGGCTGCGTGCGGCCGGAGGTAAGCGAATGGCGAGTAGGGCGGCGCTGGAGCGCAGTTTGCGCGCGCCCGCACCTGCGCGAGCGCCGCCGTCATTCCCCGGTGCTGCGTGCGCGCGCGCGTTATCGGGAGCGGAGGGGCAAACGCGTGCACAAAAGCTCCGGGTCACGGGGAGGAATTCGGGGAGCTGCTTGCCTGTGCCACATTGTTTGCTTTCAAATACCGCCGTGCTTTTTTTCTTTAAAAAATGTTTAGGGGTACTCTCATTTTCCTACTCATATTGAAATACTGCCCCTCAGTGAGGCCAAACTTAGATTTACAAAATGTTTAGAGGTGTGTGTACCCCTGCGTCCCCCCGGAAAAAGCACTGCAAAAATACCTCAGCATCTTCTTGCTTGCACAGAGCGCGCGGCCGTTCGTTCGTTTGCACGGCAGCCGAGGCCGAGCCACTTTGCAGTACTGTATAAACTAGGCTGCAGGCGACAAGATGCTTGGGGGGGGGGAATAAAATAAAACTTCACCTCCGCCCCACTTACAACTGGCTGGAGGGGAGGGGAAAACAAATAGGCACAAGTTTCGGACAATCTGACGCGCAGGGAGTGACTTGCAAGGTTGCTGCAGGTGAACGAGTACCGCTCTGCAGTTTGATGACCTGTGGCTCAAAAAGGCAGGCATTTGAGGTGTTTCGAGGCGCCAAGCAGACAGTTGCGCAAAGGCTAAATAACTGACGAGTGCGATTTTTGTTTTGGTGGGTTTTGTTTGCAGTGTCATGTGAGAGATACACATGACCTTAAGAACCAGTTGAGCTTTACTTCACCTTCCTTGTTTTCCTGGATGAAGTCCGGATGAAGCTGACCAAGCTTTGTTTATTTAAAACAGTGATAGTTACTCTTTTTTAAAAATGCATATTCCCAGGTTTGTTTTCCAGAAAGGAGTTGCAGTGGCAATTGTCACAGCCATGCCCCTTCTAAGGTTGTACAAGATTCTAAGATTACACATTAATCTTATAGTTATTATTGTATTCCTAATTATTATTATTATGGTATTCCTATACAATAGTAATAATTAGGGACATGTTGCAACAATCAATGCAGATGTGCAGGTGTTGCCTTTTAGCTAGTTCTACCATAGTCGGCCAATAAAGTGAGATGAGCGCCGCAAACCCAGAGTTGGCCACGACTGGACCTAATGGTCAGGGGTCCCTTTACCTTTACCATAGTCTGTGCACATACGTGGGCCAATGATTTGGAGTGGTCCAATATCTTTCAGAGTGACTTGTGTTTCCCTAGAAGTTCCAGTGTACATAACAGAAGTTGCACACCATTCTTTTGAAACTGAAGCACCTAGTGTTTTCAGTGTTCCTAAATGCTTAGCCTTGGAGCATACTGTGGCTTAAAAACTCCCCTTTCTAGCTGATTGGGTGACTCTAAGACACTTGAGGCAGAAATAGTAACATGTCTTTGAGTGTGGACCAGTACAGTACTGTTAAGCAGTTCCGGGCCTGAGACTGTAAGAACCTGTGCTTTTTCCAATGGAGTATAATCTTGGTATTAGCATAATTCCTGCCTTGGAATAAACTTTTTGGAAAATGCATCATCGGCGTGTATCCCAAAGTTTTGTTTTTGTACAATGCACGTTAAATTGTGGTGTCTCTCAGGCCAATCCAGAGGAATAAGAAACTAGAGCTTGCATCCTGGGAGGAAAAAACATACACATTTGCTGCTGGACGGCTGCCTTCTATGAGAGGTGCTGGCATTGTGTTTGGCCCAACACTTTATTTTTCTGAAAGACCCTCACAAGAGTAGAATGTGTGTGCACACACGTACACACCAGTAACTGCTGCTATAAATATGAACGAGGAACTGGGCTTTTGTGCCCGGAAACAAGTCTCTAGCCCACACCAAATTCATTGGGAAGCTGTGATAGATAACAAAAAACCCTCAATCAATCTTTATTACAGTTAAAGACCAGACAGGGTAACTCTCCCTGGGGTGACAGTAGCTGTATGAGTTCTCCACTGCCTTATAATTCATTGTCTTTCAACTGTCCTGCAAGCAAATCAGGATGAATGCTGAATAAACAGGCCATCTGGAAAAGGCCATAATTTTTCATAAAATGTACACATGCTGAAACACAACTTTTAAAGATTCAGGAGCCCTGCCTCTTTTAACCAGGTCACTCAACCAGTACTGCAGTTGTTATTAAAGTGCTTTATTTCTAGGGGGGGAAGGTGCTGATACTCTGAATGGAAAACTTCCTTGGGAGTCAGGAAAAACAAATACATGTAAAACAGTTGTATGTTTTACTGGAACGTCATTAAAATATTGGTATGTAGTTATTACATGGTGCGTGATAATTAAAGGACTTGCTGTAACTCTATGCCTTGTTCTGTACTCTTAATACCTGACTGTGCATGCCTATTATCGCCACAGGGTCATACCATCCACGATTCTGCCGGGACATAGGCTCACGCCTCCTTTCCCAAGCCCAGGAAGCATTTTCCCAGCTTAGGGAAGGAGGCGCGGTGCTCTGACGGGATCCAAGAGGCCTCCTGCCTCCTTCCCTTACAAAAAAGGTGGCAATACTGTGTACCGTTGTGTACTGCCAGGGAAAAAAAGCATTGGCTGCATTGTCTAATTATGTTTCTCAAGACAGAAAAACAGAAACCAAAATTGCAAAGCAGGAAAATGGATAAAATGACACAGTAGGTTGTTGGCATGTGTCTGTTTTGAGAGACAATGGAGTGCACCTCCAGGGGTGAAGTCAAACTGTTGCATTTGCTGCACCAAAGTGACCTCCCTGAGGCACAAGCCTGGGCATTGTGTATGGAGGTCCTGTGCTGCCCAGATGACAAGACCCTCCTCTCGGCCTCACTGATATGGCCCAAAGGAAAGCAGTTTGGCTCCAGTTTGGCTGCAGGGGTTGCAAGAAGGAGGCGTACAAGGCCATCCAACCATCTTAGGGACTCCTTTTCTTTTCCTGAAGATACCGCACAAGGCAGCGGAAGTTTAGGGCCAGAGTTTTCCTTATCCTAGCTAGGGTACCTTCCCAGGTTGATGAGCCCCATCTGCCCCCTCACTTCCCCCTACAGCATGAGCAGAAACCACCTACCTTCTTGACTGTTCGACTCACTATTACTCTTGTCTGCTCAATCCGCTGGAGCCTGTCTTCACATGCAGTGGAAGTCCATAACTCACCAAGGGTTTGAAAGCCATCAGCTGCCCTCATCTGGATTAGCCGGCCAGTCGGAGCCATTTTCTGGGGAGCGACCCCTATTGCACGCTGACAACTTCTGGAAGCCACAGGTGAGAGCTGAGTGCAGGGTGGGGACCAAACTACCTCAGAAGGCGCATGATGTGTCTGCCCCCAGAGGTACTACATTCCATATACCCCAAACCCAGTAGACGTTATTAAAAAAATATAACTCCCTTGTGCTAAACTCATTTGAAAACCCCATCTTAGCAGTGTAGGTTAGAGCAAATGTGAGTCAGAGCATGTTAAATGGCTCTTTCATAATTTAACAAGGAATTACAGAAGATCCACCCCTTCTGGTAACAGCGCACCAAACCATCAGGGTTGCAGTGTTTTTTATTGCTTGACTCATCACCTGTTGTGGGACTGCAGGTGTGCAGGTACCTTCCCAGTTTGATGAGCCAGTTTGATGTCCTTTCCAGAAGACTGATACATTCTTTTCTTTCTGAAACAGAATTAAAACTCAGATTCAAGCATGAAGAAATTTATGGTAGTGGAACCTGTGGTTGCCTTGTTCATGTTTTTATATTCCATGCCGTTGATGCAGCAGTATGTGTATCGGAAGCTCTGGGAGGAGACCACCAATTCCACCTTCGATAATGACAATGCTTCTCATTGCCATGTGAACCAAAGCGATCCAACTTTCTTGAAGCAAAAGGTAAGCTCAGAGTTCTCCTTGGGTGCATACCAGGCATAGTTAAATGGACAGCACAAGTCTACTGATTTCTATCCAGAAAGCTCCTACTCTCATTTTCTTGGGAGTAATCTTTACTGAACTCAATGGGTTTGGTGTAAACATCTGAGTTTACACTGGATAAACTCTGAGTAAACATCTGTAGGATTGGACTGCTAGTCTCTATCTCTGTGAGAGATTTATGCTCTTAAGTTCCACAAACTTTAATGAAAAATTTAAAATGCATATCATATGTTTGGGTTGTGCCCACTGGGAGAGAGCGTTGCAAAGAAAACGTCACTTGAGCCAAGGATACACAAGACCCTCTTTTGAGTTAAATGACACAGTCAATGAATTGTCAGCTGCTAGAATAGTCAGAGCTGGGAGGACCAGGTGCAAAAAAGGACGGGGCTCTGGCAGCTTTAAGAGGGTGTTTCAGTAGGCTCACCAACTGAACTTTGTGTGGACTCTTCAAATGTAGTCCCTTTTGTCAGAGCTTTTCAAGAATGGTTGCTGATGGTGCACCAGCCTAAGCTGGACAAAAGCACCCCTGGCCACAGTACTCTTTGGACATCTTCATCCAGGAGTACTGCCAGACCGCAACCTGATTTCTCAGGAGGAGGGCTACCCCATCCAAGGCGGGCTGAACTTTAAAAACAGAGAAGTTGTATATCTCCAACTCACTGATTGCCTTAGGAACTTGAATATGGTCAGTGTTGGTCACTCGTTTTAGGGATGGTTCAAGATCAAGGATTTTAAAGGAGCATTTTTAAGAAGGCTTCCTAGCATATGCATTCAAATATCTTTTGTACTGTATTAGAACTGGATTCATGTTTAATTACAAAGAAGCTCGGAATTCATTAGACCAGACTGTAGTGCTTCCTGATGGCTGGCCTGCTTGAACAAATATCTTTATAGCTAAAGTGGGGGATCTTACACTGATACGGTGGTGCCTTGGTTCTCGAACTTAATCCATTCCAGGAGTCTGTTCGAAAACCAGGGCGCAGCTTCCAGTTGGCTGCAGGAGCTTCCTGCACTCAATCGGGAACCGTATCGGACGTTCGGCTTCCAAAAAACGTTCGCAAACTAGTACACTCACTTCTGGATTTGCGGCGTTCGAGAGCCGATTTGTTCTACAGCTAAGGTACCACTGTACACTGTTTAGTATGCAGTGCAGGCATCTTGCTTGCTAGACTGGTTGCAGATTGTGGAAAATGCTTTCATTAATAATAGGGTTTACCAGCAGTGCTCCCTTCCTTGCATCTTGTTTTGCCTCACAATGCTCTATCCCTTAATTTAATTTGTATATAAGTTGAGGACTCCTCCCTGTTTAAGTTTTTGTTGTAAGTTCTATTTATTTGCTTCACAAACTGTGCCCTAAACGTATCTTCAGATTTTAGACTTGTGGGCCAAATCTTCAGCTAGCGTCACAGTGTAATACTTCATTGGCTTTGCTGAAACTAAGCTGCTTTTAATCCAGGTGTTTCTCAATTACTTTCTTGTGCACCTGACTTAAGTAGTGGAGTGTTGTGTTTAATTTATATACAGCATATGTTTTGGTAACTCTCCCTCATTATCTGGAATGATCAGCATGTACCTCATGTGAAAAACATGGCTGTATGCAGCCCAAGCTGACGTGGCAAAGTCCTATTGACTTCTTTAAATAAGTGCATTCAAGGCTCATGGTTTTTTCCTCTGGATTGCACACAACGTCAAGCACTAGGGTCATCTTGTACCAGCTGGGATTCTTGCAACATTTGCTTAGTGTTGGGCCTTCTGCCTCTCCTCCCCGCTACTCCATCTAGACAGAGCATTGCCATGTTATCGTCTTGCCCAGAGGAAGTTAAAGGTCCTTTTGTGTTAAGAAAGTCTTCAAACAGAAAAACAACAACACGATCATAGGAAACAACAGTCCTGCGGCTTCGGGTGGGGCCCCCCTCTTGAGTCTGCTGAGTGAGGGGGACCTGGACATCTGCCCCAAGGTCCTACTCTGTCTCTCAGAACAGACACATCAAGCGTATCTTCAGTTGGCAAGTGTTTTTCTGCCACTCTCAAGGAGAGAGAATCATTTACAGAAGGGCCGAAAGGTCACAAAATGCAAGAGGCATAGTCTGCAACATTTCTGCGCAAAGTTCAAGTGTGTGCGAGATAACCTCTGTGCTTTCTTTGCTTGTCAGTGCTTTCTCTGTGAGCTTGATACATTTGAGCTTTGCACAGAAATGTAATGGGCACCTTGCATTTTGTGGCATTTCAACCCGGTGATTTATAATTCTTCTCCCGTCTGTAAATAGATACACAGATACAGGTACAGCTTCGACTGGCATTTCACGCACTGGGTGATGTAAAATCCAGTCCACAAAATCTTATGCTGCTGTAAATGTGTTGAAATCATATCCACACCATTTAAAGCACACACCTTCCTCCAAAGAATCCTGGGAACTGTAGCTTGTTAAGGGTCCTGGGAATTGTAGCTCTGCGAGGGTGAACTACAGTTCCCATGATTCTTCTGGGAAAACCTTGTGTTTGAAATGTATGGTGTGAATGTGACCTAAAACGGTACTTCAGGGCTCTTTTGTGTCTGTGGTTGCTTGGGCTGATCAAAATTTGGCCTTCCCTCTGCACACTTTCTCCTACATGCATGCATGTTGAGGTATGAAAGAGGGAAAGACGATGATGTTTTAAATAATAATTTATGTACTGCTCATATACAAAAATGGCTTGTAAGTGGTTTGCAACTATAAAACCAATTATAAAATCCATACATAATTAAAATACACTAACAATTCTACCGTAGCATTAAAACATCTTTAATTAAAATATGCCACAAGCCAGTTATAATAAATCATAATACTGTAATAAATTTTTATTTATACCCCACCCTTCCCAGTTTAAAAACTGGGCTCAGGACGGCTAACAGCAAATATGAAGAATTGATTAAAATGTGACTTAAAAACAGCATAAAACAGCATAGAATACAACATAAAATGCAGCATCAATATCAATAAAATCCAAAAATTATGGGGTCATTTTTGGAAGGAAAATAAAGTTAGAAAGCATGACAATTGAAACAACTGAAAAAAAAAGTAGGATCAAGTTCAGGTGTGTCTTCAAGAGCCAGTGGAATGCCAATACTGATGGCACCTTGGTATTTCAGCAGGGAGGGCACTCCACGACACACTGGTTCCACGCTTGCCTCCATGTTATCGCAAGCCATTAACAATCAGTTATTTCACAGGTTTGCATTTACGGATTTACAATCCGCTCCTTTATATTAAATCTGTTTATTTTCTTCTTTCAGGAAGTCCAAGAAAAGATGTCTATTTTTATCTTGAAAACAGACCTGTGTGCAGGTGCCCTCAGCATTTTGGTAGCCTTTGTCGTCGTAGCAAATGGAGAACGCTGGGGGCGCAAAGTATCGCTGGTTCTTCCTATGGTGGGCTGTCTCGTGAGCAGCATCTTCCTCTGCGCTATATCCTATTTCTCGCTGCCCCTCTCTCTCCTTTTCATTTCGGCCTTCGTTACTGGGCTGTTTGGAAGCATAGCAACCTTCCTTGGCGGTGCCTTTGCCTTCATCGCTGACCTTTGCGAGAATGAGAAGCAGAATACCATCCGAATAGCAGTGATCGACTTCATCCTTGGAGTGTTCTCTGGATTGGGAGGACTGTCTTCAGGCTACATTTTAAAAGCTTTGGGCTTTACCTGGACATACGTGATGATTTCACTGCTTCAGGTGGTCAACATTTTGTACGTTATGTGTTTCTTGGATGACACGGTCCGGGTATCTGAGGTTGAGCCAAAGTCTCTGAAAGAAAAGCTCAAGGAAACCTTTTCTGGAGTTTATGACTTATTTCGGAATTCTTCCTGTAGGAAGCGGACTCTGATCACATTGCTGCTTTGTACATTCATGACTTACTTGTTCACAATGATTGGCGCGCTTTCTCTTTACACCATCTATGAACTGAACGCCCCGCTCTGCTGGAATGCCATCTACATAGGATACGGCTCGGCTGCATCTACTGCTGTCTCTCTGATTGGCTTTTTAGGAATCCTTGTCCTTGTCAAGTACCTAAAGGACTTTTACCTTGTTTACCTCGGGATCTTCTCTTACGTAGGAGGAGCCGTCATGGCTGCCTTTGCCACCACTACGTTGCTGATGTTTTTAGGTGAGTTCAGTACCAGACCGGTGAAAATTCAGAACTTTTGGTAAGAATGCTGGTTATGTAGACGTTTTGAAAACAAGTGGTGCTCACAACCATGAAGAATAATTTCTGGACTACATTATTTTCAAGAATATATGCAATTTTATAGACATTCCTTGGTTTGAGAACTGCACCACAAAATTCAGAAAAGTATGAATTTTGAAATACGTTTGCATTTCGGTTTGCATATTGTTTCAGGTTAGGTTCACATTAAACCTTACCAAACCATTGAAAGCCCATTTAAATAGACTTGAGTAACTTAAATGCATCTATTTTAGTGGATCTTCTCAGAGAATGACTTAGTTGGAGACAACCCTATATGACTATCAAAATATCTTGGCTGTTTCCTTTTGCTTTGTTGTATTTTACAGTACAGCTTCATCTATTTCAGTCTCCTATTCATAATATTGCTGGCTTGTGTGTTTTTACAGTGAGAGTGCCTTCCCTGCTACTTGCTATGCCCATTCCAGTCCTTCGATCCATGTTGTCCAAATTAGTTCTTCCTAATGAACAAGGTGAGTTGAAGTTGCGAAAGGATAGTTCGCGGTTGTCATGTCATAAATTACAAAGGGAGTTAGGAGGTGTTGGGTGGATTTGTCAGTTTTATTTTACATTGTTATTTATTATTTGGGGCTTTAAAAAAATAAAAAAGGTTAACCCTATTAATAAGTTGCATGAATAGTTTAAGTAACGCTCTGGAATGCCACCCTGGAATCTTCTGAGAAAAGGCGGTTGAGAAATGTTTCAAATAAATGGAGAAAAGCACAAGTGTTTTATTTTAATTTTTTGTGTTTTCTTGTTTTGACAGGAGCTATATTTGCTTGCATCGCCTGCTTAGAGGTCGTGATGGGGACTCTTGGACTTGTCACGTTCAATAGTCTTTATGCTGCCACTGTGGGCTGGTTTCCAGGCTTCTGCTTCCTCTTCTCAGCTGGCCTTTGCATAATTCCGCTGATCACACTGAGGTTGTATACATATTACTCCTCTGGCTAGTGCCAAAAGCAAAGCTATTTATTACATTGCACTTATAGCCCACCTTTTCCTCTAAGGAACTCCAGGTGGTCTATGTGGTTCTCCCCCTCCCTCTTTCAGTAACCTTGCGAGGTAGATTTAGAGTTAGAGACAGCGACTGGCCCAACATGACCCAGAGAGATGCATATGAAACAAGTGCTCCTCTGTTGAGCTACCATCCCTCCACTGGTGCATCCTTGGTGCATTATAAAAATCTCCAGCATCGCTACCTCGTATATTATCAAGTATTGAGATCTGGTAACAGTATTTTTTCTTTATTTTTTTTCATTCTCACTGACTTTTTTCCTTTCTTTTTTCTCTCACTCTTATCCTTTTATGAATGAAATTCTTGTAATGAAATATCAATTAAAGAATTAAGTACAGTGGTACCTTGGCTCTCGAACTTAATCTGTTCCGGGAGTCCCGGAACCGTTCAAAAACCAAGGCGCGGCTTCCGATTGGCTGCTGGAGCTTCCTGCACTCAAGCAGAAGCCGCGTCGGGCGTTTGGCTTCCGAGAAAAGTTTGCAAACCGGAACACTTACTTCCGGGTTTGCAGCATTCGGGAGCCGATTTGTTCGACAACTAAGCCGTTTGAGAACCAAGGTACCAGTGTATTGAGTACTGTAAAGTACTGGTAAAGTATTTAGGTGGTGTTTGACTAGCCTTTAAACAGTTGGCCCATTGAAATGAACATGACTAAGTGAGACTCATCCATTTCAATAGGTCCACTCTCAGTAGTTGAATGTCACCCTTTGACTTGAACAAAGGAGACCAACCAACGCCACATTTTTTTCTCTGTACAAGACTTTTCCCGCTCAAAACTTCATTCCAGGGTGTTTGTGAGGGTTAAAAGGGAATAATCCCATCTGAGCTACTTGGAAGATGGGCTGAGTACAAATGTAATAATAGATCAGTAAAAGAATGGTCAGGAAGGGGTGTATCGCTGACAAAAGTCTACCCGTCAGGACAAGAGTATTTGCTGGAAATTAGTGAAAAAGAATGCGAAACTCAGGCTAAATATTTCCTGCTATGCTGATTTCCCAACAGTGCCTTGACTTTGCCACATACCTAAAGTGTTAGGGTGGACACAGACATAACATTTAAAATAGTGGTCACAGTGCGTCCTTCTCCCTGCAGTATGGAACTTGCCTTAAACATGTATACAGTGGTACCTTGGTTTTCGAACAGAATGCAATCCGGGAGTCTATCCGACTCCCGGAACCGTTTAGAAACCAAAGCATGGCTTCCCATTGGCTGCAGGAGCTTCTTGCAGCCCATCGGAAGCCATGCTGGATGTTCGGCTTCCGAAAACGGTTCGAAAACCGGAATGCTTACTTCCGAGTTTCGATTGTTTGGGAGCCGATTTGTTTGGGAGCCAAGGCGTTCGGCTTCCAAGGTACGACTGTACCAGCAAGTAAAATGCTATTTCAGCTGTCCATCCTTTGCTTTCCTTTGTGTTTCACATTCTAGAGATTGGCAAAGGGGAGGTGCATAGGTAAATGCCATGGATTTTCACCAATAGGAATTCTCCTTGGCCAGCTTTTCCCCAGCTCAAACTGAACCATGCTGAAAATTTGCAGAAGTGTTGTTCTTCTACACACGTCCTGGGATAAAGGAGAAGCTATTTTGGGCTGGCAAGGTTGCTTCCAAACTGCTTTAGCTGCTCTTAGAATGCTCCACCTGCCTTTGCTCTTAATCTTAAAGCTGGCATGACAGGTGTTTCCTTCAAAAGGTTAAGAAGACTATCCATTTCAGGTTGCATACAGGGAGGTATTGTCACAACCTTACTGAATACGCCACATGGACCTTTTTCATTGCAGTGTATGACAGCTTTATGATTTCTGTACATTTTCAGTTGACTTAGTACAGTGTGTTCCGTATCTCCTCTTTAAAACGTCTTATCTCTTTCTCCCAGCTGGTTTCTGTATGCCACTTGGCATGAATATCACTTTGCGCTACTTATAAATGAAGAAGACTCCCTTGGGGAGAATGCTGACAGCTGAACAGAGAATTTGTCTAAAGGCTAGCCCTCCTCTCCTGTTCTTCTATCATGGCCATACCTGTTGACTCTTATTGGCACAGCTAAAGAAGGATCTGATGTGTCCGTTCTTAGATCTCTACAAGAATTGACCATCCCAGGTTTGCTGCTGTCCTTGATGGTACATAGGATGCTGCGCAAAGCGGTGGCAGAGAAGAGTCGTGAATGGTGTTTTCAGTCTGTTGCTATGCTGGGGTGGGATTCAATCACAAACTGGCAAATTCTCAATGACAGTTAATTGGGAGGTCTTGCACAACAAACCTGCTTTCTCAAAACATCAGGCTTTTTTGCAGTAAGGAAAGTGATGGGGAAATGGACTGGAAAGGATAGGGTTGCTGGACACAACATTGTCTAGCATCTCCACGAACAAATCAGGGTGAATGCTCACTAAATAGCCAATGTAGCAAACAGATCAGGAATGAATGCTCAGTAAACAGATTGTCTGGAAGCACCCAAAGCACTGCCTTGGTTGAGCTGTTTCAAAGGCAATTGGCCGGTGCTGAAACAGGAGTGATGTCAGAACTGGGATCAGGCCCTTGATGTCTTGGTGCACCTGCGCATGGCTGTTAATGTTTCAGTGCAATCAGTAGCAGATAGTGGGTGCTGCTGCTCACCTGAACTCAGGTTGGTTGTCGCTCCTGCTTACTGGAAAGGGCAAGGCGTCACCGTGTTTGGACACATTTCTGTTCTCTCATCATTTTGAAATGCCCTGGCCTTTGAGTTTCGGAATTCTGTGACTCCTGTATTAACCAGACTTCCTTGTGTATACCAGTAAGTCTGTGATGCATACCTGCTTGCAGGAAGTGGACAGATGGGCAGCAGCGACACTACTCCCTCAGCAAGGAAATGATGCACTTATTTTGCATGCAGTGCAATCTTATGTGTGGCTATTGAGAAATAAGCCCATTGGGTTCAGTAGAACTTACCTACAGGGTTGAACTATTATACAGTCGCAGCTTGGTTTTCGAACAGAATGCATTCCGGAAGCCCGTTCGATTTCCAAAACATTTGGAAACCAAGGCGTGGCTTCCAATAGCAGAAGCCGCATCAGATGTTCGGCTTCCAAAAAAAGTTCAAAAACCGGAACACTCACATCTGGGTTTCGATCGTTCGGGAGCCAAAACGTACAAGTACCAAGGCGTTTGAAAACCAAGGTACGACTGTATATTGATATGTAAATTGAATTATCTACTCTTGCAACAGGAAGGTCGTGTTTGTGTTGCAGAGGGAGTTAAGAATCACAGGATGGGTTAAGTGCTGTCAACAAACCCTGTTTGAGCAATTGCCTGGATAAGCTGTGGAGGTCCTACATAGCTTCCCCAATTTTTGTGTGACCACATCTGCAAGCAAGCCCTGTGGCCAGACAAGCTTAAGAAAATACAGAAACTGAGCCAATTATTTTTAAAATAATTCTGAACAAACCTGATTCTTCTTTACACAGAGGACAGGCAGGTGCCTTGAATGCAGACAGTCTATAACAATGATTGGCAATCTTTGCTTGGAATCTAAGGTAACTTAAGGAACATAATGGAAAAAAGGCTCCCATCTCCTGTTCCACCTCTGTAGCCACCTGACCCTAACCCTAACCCCCTGAAAAAAGCCACTCTGGAAGGTTATGTCTCCCTCCCGAATCATGTAGGATGGGATTCTAAGGGCTATTGGGAGAGCTGGAGAATCAATTGGAATTGGGCTTGGATCCTAAGTTAAAGAAGTTTATGGAAAGAAAGGTTCCATTCTGTTCTTCCACCCAACAGCTCCCCACACCCTGTCCCCCGTTGTTCCGAAAGGGCCGCCAAACCTCTGCAGAGGCTTTCACGATGACAGAGGAGAAGAGAGGAGGGGGCAGCCAATTCCACGAACTTCCATAAGTTAACCTACTTTATGATGCATACAATTGTATAAAATGCCACTGTGATTTATCTTGCGCTATTTTCCTTAAATTGTTCTACTGGGCCTAAGAATGGGCGAGTCTTTCAATTTCAACATCAGCTGCAAATTCTTTCATTTTAAAAAAAGGTCAGCATTTTAGTACAAATTTCTCCTACATGCACATTGTTGTACGCAATGTTTTTGCAAGTAGTATCCACTAATATAATGCATTTTTATGCACACTTTACCTAATTTGTATGAATTGCTTGATTAGAGATCTGCATTGCAAAATTCAAAGAAGTCTGAATTTCACAAGATGACTGTACTTGGTTCATATATTTTCAGGAGTTAGGAAGATTCGCCTTTAAATGTGAACCAAATCCCTCATTAGCCTGGCCTACCAATGCACTTAGGTATACAAAAGTGAGGATTAATCAGTAATGTTTATTGTATGCTGTTTTTCCCCCCTAACAGCACTTTCTATGGTGGATAAAAGAGGATTTGTTGTAAACTTTTTTTAAAAAAGACCCTAATGTAATTGTATATTTTTTTAAAGGATTGACTTGTTGAATTATTAGGTAGTGTTTCAATTGATTCATTTGATTCATTTGATAGGGTCGGTTCACATGAAAACGAAGAGCAAGACCTTGCAGTTCAGGATAAGCATGTTGAACCTGTGAAGCCTGCAATGCAAAATGTAGCTGCAGGGTAGACACTACGTAATGTTTTGGGCTGCAGTTCAACACAAGATTAGGTGTGCTTAAAGCTCTTTTGAAATAACTGGATTTAAAGCTCCCATCCCGAACACCTGTCTGAGTCTCACATGGCCCTTCCTCAATGTGGAACCCCAGAGTCTGCCATACCTGCCGCCGCCACCACCATTGGGTGGGGCAGCAGGCAGGCATTCCTGCTTGTGTGTGGGTCAGGCATAGTGTGCCACAGATATAGAGTGGTGCTTTGGAACTCTATTCTTGGCCCACACTCTGTGGTTTGGTTGTGTGTGTGTAGGAATGCTGGCCATTTTCCAAACCTCTGGTAGTGCTGATTGCACTCTCCAGTGATGGCTAGAGTGGTTTTGCCAGTGAAATAGTTACAACACAAAGAAAGGCAGTAGCAGATCAGACTGGTTGGCTAGATGAAGGTGAATGGGGAGATGGAAGCCTCTCTCTTTCTCTCTCTCTCTCTCTGTGTGTGTGCGCGCGCGCCAGCCAAGAAGAGGGAACTTCTGTGTTTGCAAGTGAAGGAATACCGTACGTGTTTTTGTGAGTGAGAAGATGAATGATGGTTGAATGAAGAGAAGGGGGGAGAGAGAGAGAGAAAGAGAGAGAGAGAGAGAGAGAGAGAGAGAGAAAGTGCTGCCCCCTCCCCACACTTTTGGACCACATTCCAATGGTGGACAGTTTCCCCCTAAGTGGAGATGGCCCTAAACCCCCCAAAAACTTTCTCATCTTCTTGCTGGAAAAAAAGCCTTGTCAATAATGTTTTCAAAATCAAGAATCTTAATTTTGTCTCTCCTTGAGCCCTTTAACATTTTTCTCCCATCTGGTCTGGAGAATCTTCCTCATTTCTTTTTACAACTCTTTTGAGCTCCTGTGATGGAACCAGAGCTGTGCATCTAATTAGTTCACAGTTAATGTGCTGTAAAGTGTAATTTTGCACTTTTCATCTTCGGAGTGCTTGGCAAATATGTAAGTCATTAATCTTCTCGATGCTGCTCTGAGGCAGGTACTCTTTGCCAACTTCACCTTCCACCTCTGGGTGGGCAACCTTTTAATATCGAAATTGTCTCAGGGCCACAGAGCAAATTAATATTAGGGATTGAGATGATAAAACTGCTTCTGCCACTTGGGTTTATATGCTCTATAATGACAGTATGTATAGAGAATGCCATTCAATGGCATCTCTCCTCCCTCCCCCCTCCCCCAGCATAAAATATGTTGTTAGCAACACCTGGCGAGTTTTTCATATCGCTAACATTTAGGATGTTATTTCCCCTCTTGCCATATATTGCTTTGCGGTATCATGAAGTGCTGAGGTGCTTTCATGCTGATGGTTTTATGAGAGTTCCTTGGTGACTTATAATGCTCCCTCTCAGTCTCTGTGATCCACACACCCCTCTCCCCCATACATCAAATTAGATGTCCATGGGAAGATTGTGATATGTCTCTGAAAGGGTTTTTAACGAACCCGGACTGCCGTCAGGAGTGAGGAAACAGCAGGTGGTGGGGTGGGCAGCACTTCCCTTTCCCTCAGTTTGCCCACTCAGAATTTATTTCCCCCAGTTGCTTATCTCCCTGTGCGGAAAAAATATCTGGGGACTCATCCATTCAGGTTGTTTATACAATGTGTGCTGTTGGAATGATGTTTTATGTTCTTTAGGGGTTTTTTGTGTCCATGATATTGCTGTGCTTTATTTCAATGAACTAACATTCATTAATTTGGGGAACCTTTGGGTTGAAAGCTTGGCTATAAATCCAATTAGTAATAATAACATCTTTTCCTACCCTCTTCCTTCACTCAGACTGCAGCCTTACCTAGCAAATTCCATTTTTTAAAAGTCAGGAGACTGATTGATGTTATCTCCTATGTAATGTCTGCTACACCCCACCCCACCCCGATCGTGAAGTTTGCAGATTGTTTGGGGTCATAATTGACTACACTGTAAATAGCATTTTGGGAGCTTTGGAAGTGTGGGAAATGAGCAGCGGACTGGGCACTCTTTCCTCAGCCCAATGTACCCAATTGCCCCCTCTTCCACATCTCTGTATTTCTTAATTTGTGTATGTGGCCGTCATAGTACATTTGTTGGATGGAGGGTAGGATTTGCACAGTAGCTATAATAAACAGGAGTTTGGAAGGTGGGGCAGCAAGGAGGAAGGTTTCCAAATGTAGCTGCTTTGGTAGTCGACCGTTATTTCCACTAACCGGACCTGTCTACCAAAGTGTCAGGGGAGGCAAGCTGTGGCCTCGCTTCCTACTGGACTATGGAGATGCTCAGAAGCAGTGAGAATCTTACTTCCTCTTGCATCTGAGTGTTTCCAAAGCTTGGCATGAACCAAGTGGCCGACTTCTCTTTTCCAAGTACATGTGCCAGAGATATTGGGGAGAGGGCCAGGCTGATTCTTCCACACAGCATGAAGCAAAATGCTGCTCCTGGCTTTTGAGGCCCTCTAGTTGTGTGGAGAACTTGTGGGGGGGTCTCATCTAGCAGTAATTCATTTTATGGGCACCACTTTGATTGACGATATGGAAATTTAATACAGTGCGTGGCCCCCAGGTTCTGTGAGGAAGTGCTCTTGTGGCCCACTTGGTCTGAGTTGAAACAAACAAACAAACAAAATCCTTCCAGTAGCACCTTAGAGACCAACTAAGTTTGTTATTGGTATGAGCTTTGGTATGCATGCACACATCTTCAGACGCACACGAAAGCTCATACCAATAACAAACTTAGTTGGTCTCTAAGGTGCTACTGGAAGGATTTTTGTTTATTTGTTTCGACTATGGCAGACCAACACAGCTAGCTACCTGTAACTTGGTCTGAGTTGTTGGACCACCTTGCTTTAGGGTAACCTTTAGATTGCCCTTTTATGTTGCCCACTTGGTGTCCTGTAGATGTTTTAGACTACAACTCTTCATCCTCAGCTCCAGCACATGTGGAGAACAGGTTGGCAAAAGCTGCCACAGACAGCCATGGAACAAAAGAAAGGACTGCATTTTCTTCGAACCACCAGCAGCAGCAAGACTGCAAGCTTGCTGGAGAGATACTGCACTGAAGCTGACTGTTGTGGCTTAAGACAGTCTCTGTAATAATGCCTGGCACTAATTACTCAGGACAAAGTTGCTTTGTCAAAGTTAATAGCTGCTTGGGTGGAAATGGTAATAGCAATTCACTGACCAGAGAACTTTCACTTTCCTCCTTTTGTGAGAGGTTGTCTTATTGCTGTTAGCAAAAGCAGCCCTCCACCCAAGGAGTCTGGGCCTGGAGTTGGCTTCACATTAACTCAAAGTGAAAGTTCATGAGAAGTTGTTATCTTGATCTGATAGCGCACAGAGTGAACAAGAAAGTATTTTATCTGAAATGGCCTTCTCCAAGTTGGTGCCCCCCAGGTGCTTTGTATTCCAGCTCCCATCATCCCTGACCACTGGCCATGCTTCCTGAGGCTAATGGGAGTTGTCGCTTGAAACATCTAGAAAGCACTAGGTTGGCAGGAGGCTACTGCTAATGCATCTAGTTAAGGAACTGATCATTTGGCTAAAGATCAGAAAATGTGTGCTTATGGGGGGAGATTTATAAAAAGAGCGTAAGAACAAGCAATTGCTTTTAGACTAGTGTAATTGTAGTAGCTTACTGCAAAGAATCTTGGGAATTAAAATATGCTGAGCATATTCAGATCTGTATTCTTCATAAAACTAGCCCTCAGGATTTCCTAAGGAAACCAAATGATTTAGCAATCCTATGTATATTTGTCTACTCAGAAGTAAGGCACATTGACTTCAGTGAGACTTATTCACAGGTATAGGTGCATAAGAATGCAGCCTTAAACCGATCTGTATCTGTAGTGTGCAGACACTCAAAACTGTATGGAACTGGAAGTTTTTATACAATGGTTGCCCAAGTTAATCTTTGCACTGATTCTGGCTCTAAGACTGAGCTGCCTTGGGAGTGTGTGTTTTGCAATAATCATGACAATATTTGCACTACTTTCCTTGACTGACTTTTATTTGTGTGTATAATGTATACTGAATGAAAATATTGAGATAAATAAAACATTTTTGAACGACATCTGTATCAGTGCTTCTTAAAACAATTATTTCACATGTAATCAAGTCTCTAGAAAGAAACATGGCAATTCAAGCTGCTTATGATAGAACAAGTTTATCTAAAAAATGAGTCAGTTTAAGCAAAATTAGTGTAGATTAAGAGGGGAAACGATTATATTATACATTAATTTACATGCCAGTAAATCCATTTTTAGAATTTACGTCTCAGTAGTCAAGAAAGAATGACATTAAGTTGTCTGGTTTTGAAATGGACAAGCAAAGAGCAACTTGTTTAGGGTCAAAGATCACATTAGAATATCACAGACCAGTGTGGTGTTATCACATTCAGGTGCTTGTGATTACAACCGAAACTGAACTTGTAAGCTGGTTGTTTTTACTAAAATCTTTTAGTGCCATGAAGCCGAACCATAACATAGTAACAAACAGCCTGCTGGATTAGACTGGTGGCCTATCTAGCACAGCATCACAGTGGCCAACCAGATGCCTATGGGATATGCACAAGCAGGTTCTGAGTGCAATAGTACACTCCTCTCTTTGTAGATTTTAGCAACTGATATTCAGAAGCATGCCACCTGACTGCACAAAAGCTATAATAAGATTAGAAGCTGAGAAGGCTTTAATCTTCCAACCAGAGCAAGAGGCGGAAAAGCATTCCCAATAACCTACTGGTGAGTAAGAAAGAGGAGCTAGAGGATTCTGGGATTGGTAATTCTTCACTTACTTTGGTACCAGAGGTTTGCCTGGTACCTGTGCTACCAAAATTCAGGAATTTGGGCCTTCATGGTTGGATTTTTTCCCCATTGCTTTTAGTGTTCCAACTTTCAGTTGCATGTGGAAGGATATTTTCATTGTTGGTTGATTGCTATGAACACTCTTGGTATTACAGGTTTATTTTAAAAATTATTTATTGAATGTATTTTTACTTTGTCTTTGAGATTCTCCGGTAAAAAGCAATGAATTACCTTGGCATCACGAACAAACTGCTTGTATGAGCAGGAAAACACAGGAGCCAGTTTATCAAAACTGCATCAGTTTGCAAACTCTAAAAATGTAATTGCAAAAAAATAATGCAACTAAATTTTCAACTGGAAACACCTGCCTAACTCAGAATCTGACTTTGAGCTGCATCTTAGGAAGTGAGAATTGTAAGAAGCAAATGTACTTTGTCAAAGCAAGACCTCTAAAAGCCTTGAGGTTTCCACAAGGTTATTTCTTCAGTTAAGACTTAATCAGTACCCTTTACATGTTACACCATTTGCATGGGAGGTTCATTTTCATGAATTCAACAGCCCTGCTGCCATTTAAAAATGTTCTTGCTTTGGCAATCACTAGCCCACAGGACATAATGCAAGGGTGTTGCAAAAGCTTCTTACTTATTTAAACAGCACCCAAGTTCCAGTATACAACTTTTCCTAAGAGGAAGCTAACATGTGGCAAAAGATTTCATACTTCCCAGCGTACAATGAAATATTTTATTCAAGAGAATTTCCCTCATTGCAGTGAGATATTCTTTAAAAAAAGGGAGGGCAAAGAAGTCTTGGGAATTTACTAGCTCAAATTTCCATGTCATGAATAAGCAATTCAAGAACATGAGATCCTACAGCTTTTCAATCTTTTATCTTTCCTGTGGGCTACCCCACAAAACGTGTTGCACTTTTATGAGGCAAGATGCTCGTCAAGTATCTGGCAGCTCAAACGCTAAAACTGGGTAAGTCCAAAAGCATCACAAGTATTTAGGAATGCATACCGATTGCTTCCAACGAAGATAAAAATTCATCTCCTTCACTGAGGCAAAGTTGTCTCCATGAGGAACATTTATTCCTGTGGAACCAAACTTTGAAGCTGCGTTAAGACAGAAGGTAGTCATGAAACAGCATCACCACATAAATCGTGAGTGGCAATCCTCAGGCCTGAGGGAGGAATACAGCCACACACCCCTCCAAGCTTCTCTACTCCACACCATTGAGACTCCACACCAGCCTCAAGTGCTTTTGTTTCACAGGAGGGAATCCTTGAATTGGGATACTGCCTCTTGCTTAACCAAATGGAGGGTGGATGTTTGTGGGGTAACCTGCCTTGCATAGCCTACTGTACACTGGTGTCCCCCCATTTTGCCATTTGGTCCCAAGGTTCCCCTTGGCTATCAAGGGATGTGTCAATTGCTGTTTTTCCTTACAACCACCCTTGATTATTACGGCTTTAGGATGAGGGAATGTGGTTATTAAAGAGCAGCATGCTCTAGGGGCAGAGCGTTCCAAACTTGTTAGACATGCATCATTTCATGGCACAGGAATTTAGTTTTACTAGCAAACCAGAGGTTAAACTAACCCTTTTCCAGCCCCAGGAGGAGTGTATGGAGCGTTTGCCTGATGCACCTGCACACTGCAGCCAACACACTAATGTATCACAAAACAAAGAGTTTGGAAAGCTCTGCTCTAGGGCAACCACTGACTGACTGGGTATAGGACTGTTAGCTGGTATATTACTACATTTCCTCCAAGGAGCCAAAGTTGGCACACCCAGTACAGTACCCCCCTTTTCTGTTGAGGTTAGGCTGAGACCAGAATGACTGACTCAAGGCCATCCAGTAAACATGGAGACTGAACGGGGATCAAACCTGGATTCACAATTCTAATCCAATACTCTAGGCACATCACATATGAATCAGACTCCTAGGAAAAATGGGGAAGACTTGAGTAGATAAACGGGTGCGTTATAAGCAAGATGCAGTGGAAACAACAAAGGTCCTTGCTTTAGAAGTATTACCAGTAACACCACTTTGTTGGGCACTGGAATTAAGGGAGAGGAAGAAAGCTGCCTACAATGTCTGTCAGTGGTTCTCTCCTATGTCTGCATTGAGATGGCAGGGACTGAACCAGGCACCTTCGGCACGCAAAGCAAATGTTCTACCGCTAAGCTACAGCTCTTCTGTAATGGAGCACGCAGAGACTGGTGCTGAATGGTTTACCTGGCAGCTTGCTTGCCTATTGTGTGCATAAGGACTAAAGGACAGCACCTCAACACGGATGTCAACACTGTATGTTGACTGGTGTGTTCTGTACATGAGTGAGGAAGGGTGTCATCTGTGAAGGGTGGGTGGCATTTCAGCTGGCAGGGCAGTGGTGTTGGAAGTAGAGGATCCCAGCTAGTTAGGCCAGTGTAAATTCTGGTTGTGAACAGAGTAAACAGATCTAGGCTAAGGTGAAAGGGAATGGCTCAGTAATGGAAGCAGGTGCTGCTTGAGGTGAGGAACTTTGTAGATATGACTAAATATTTTGAAAAGTCACAGCATTTATAGAAAATTTTATTCATTGTTTTTAAAAGATGGCATGTCAAGTCATCAAGCACAAGGAAAGAAAGATTAAACAGCAAATACCTGGGTTATATATGGCAAAAGGTTCTTTTACAAGAACATTCAATCTAAAATGTCCTTTTTCTATAGACTTTTTAATGTCTACAGTTCCACAGTTGCAGACATGAAACAACTGCCCTGAATAGAGATGTATTTCCCAATTTTAAAAAATACCCAATTACAAGACATTTGTACTGACAGTAAACACAGAACAAAAGTAATATATTTAAGCATTTAATGTGCCTTTTGTATCAAAGTAGGTGAGAGATTGTGTGTATCAAAACAAGCACTGTACGGCTATCGTTTAATATGGTTTACTTGAACCTACAGGGACACAGTTAAGAAACATTTTCATGAACAGAAGGATGGAGTATGTATGCATTATAATAAACCAAGTTTGTGTTCAACCAACAGATGAGGATCTCCCATTACTTCACTCTGTGCCGGATCTGGAAAACAGGTTTAATATTTTAGTAATCCACAACTTTGAAAGAACAAGTATCAGCATGCAAGATACAACTTTTAACTAAGTGCAGCAGAAGGCTCGCTATTTGCTCCACTCAACCCCCTGCACCCCACATGAACTGAAAACAGATCAGCACACCTCTAATTAACTGTTCATGTAGGAGGGTTGGGAAAAAGGGCCTGGACGGAGGCCAATGTTTTCTCCCTGAGCAACAGGTGATAAATTCTAACTAAACCTTTTATCAGCAGTGGAGATCTCATTTGAGCCCTGGATTGTACTCCTGAAAACAAGTTGTTTCTGCTCTTTAAATTCTGCATAGGCACTTGCTTGGGCTCACCCATGTAAAAAAAGCCCTTCTGTATCAGACGAAAGGCCTATTGAGTGTCTCCCTTTTCCTCACAGCAGCCAACCAGACACTGCTACCTATGGGAAGGCTACAGGCAGGTCATGAGGATCCCAGGGTACAGTGTGAAGGCACATCAGGCCACCATCTTGCTGAAGCTAAGTAGGTCTGGGTCTGCTTAATGCTTAGATTGGAAGCCACATATATGTAGTCTTGGAATTCCATGAAAAAAGTATGGTGGGATATAAATGCACAAAAAAATACAGTTGTTTCCCAGTAACACAGTTGCAACAGTCATGTGTAGCACATAGCTACACAGTGGGACCCCAGCATGTGAAAAGTGGTTTTCATATTGGTGCAGCAACCTTTGAACAAGGCCTGAGGCTTAGAGATGTCTTGTAATCTTTACAATCCATTTTCTTCCCTGTAGCTTTAAAATACTAGATTTCTCCCAATTTTTTTGACTTTTCCTTACCGTTCAGAATATCCTCAAAACCAATGCAGTCATAGTTGCCTTTCAAGATATCCAGGGACAGGTTAGAACTATTAAGGAAAGGAAGACGCTGGGCCTATAAAGTACAACAGTTGGTCAGGGAGATTTCGTTCATCAAATAAACTGTGCATGCATAATTACTACCCAAATGAGGGACCTTGAAGATCATCTATTCCAACCCCCTGCAATGCAGGAATACAGTGGTGCCCCGCAAGACGAATGCCTCGCAAGACGGAAAAACCGCTAGACGAAAGGGTTTTCCGTTTTGAAGTTGCTTCACAGGACGAATTCCCCTATGGGCTTGCTTCGCAAGACGAAAATACCTTGCGAGTCTTGAGATTTTTTTTTCGCTTTCCCCCCCCTTTATCTAATCTGCTAAGCCTTTAATAGCCTTTAATAGCCTTTTAGCAGCTAATCCCCTAAGCCTTTAAGCCTTTAATAGCCGCTAAACCGCTAATAGCGCTAATCCGTCAATGGGCTTGCTTTGCAAGATGAAAAAACCGCTAGACGAAGACTCTCGCGGAACGGATTAATTTCGTCTTGCGAGGCACCACTGTATGCAGTTGTCCCATATAGGGATCAAACCCACAACATTGGTGTTATCAGCACCATGCTCTAATCAGCTGAGCTATCCAGGTCTGCTATAGTTGCAACATGAAGCCTTGCTTGATCATAAGTACAATCTTATATGTGTCTCCAGAGAAGAAAGACCTGTTGAGTTCAATGGTGCTAGTTTATAATACAGTGGTACCTTGGGTTACATATGCTTCAGGGTACATACACTTTAGGTTACAGACTCTGCTAACCCAGAAATAGTGCTTCAGGTTAAGAACTTTGCTTCAGGATGAGAACAGAAATCATGCTCCGGCGGCGTGCCAGCAGCAGGGTGCCCCATTAGCTAAAGTGGTGCTTCAGGTTAAGAACAGTTTCAGGTTAAGAACGGACCTCCTGAACGAATTAAGTACTTAACCCGAGGTACCACTGTATACCTATTTATGTAGACTTAAGTGAATAAACTGATACGGTTAATTAACTAGTGGTGCAATCCTATGTGTTCTTACCTGAAAATAAGCCTCTTTGAATACTGTGGGGCTTACATCCAAGTATACACACACAGGATTGCGATGCAAGATTAATTTAATCAGGTGACAGTCCTATGTGACAAGATGATTATGAGGAAAATGACTCAGATCTTTCCCTTTATCTCCACTACCCCCAGGTTCAAGAGGTTTAACTCCTGGGCTTTCTCAGTTCAAATGAATCACTGATGTTACAGTGGTTTTAAGTCTTAATCATTAAAACCAGTAAAAAGCTAATGCTATTTTATCAGATGCTTTTAAAACATTATCCTGGGCAAAACAAATTACTGAAAAGAAATGAAAAAGCATACCTGCTTCACTGCTTTGAATTCCATTTGCAGCTTCAGCGGTGCATGCAGCCCTTGAATATTTCTCAGAGTAGAAAAATTCATCTTATCTTGATTCAATGAAAACTACAAAACAAAGTGTTAAGAATATACTTGTGTTCTAGAACAATTGGGGAAATGTGACTTCCCTTGTTAAAAAATGTTTATAATGCTTCACATAAACGTATTTTCCTAGCTTACTTTAAATACTTCCACTCACAGAAAAGCTGGAATTTATACGCACTCTTATCAATCCACCACAACATGCTGTTTCTGGCAAGCGGAGTACATCTGACTCCACCTCATGGTGAAAGTAAAATACTGCCAAATAACCCAAATCCCATTCATGTTAATGTTAAATGAATTACTTTCAGTATTGAAGGAATGCTAACATCTGACTAATTACAGAAGGGTGTGTGTGAGAGGAAGAGGTGTGTTTATTTGCCATCTTATAGATGCTTGAGTGATCCATCCATCTAACTATCCAAGCCCACTGTGGGAGCATTCCAAACCCAAGAGCCAATGAAATGAGAGGAGTTTGGAATGAGCAGGTCTGACTCATCCTGGCTCAGCTGGAGATATGCTGGCCTAAATTCTCTATCCCGCCTGAGGCTGAAGTAAGGGCTGAAAAGGGGCTGTTCCTGGGAAATGGCAGGATGGGGAAGGAGGAGACTGACTCATATTATGAACTCCATTCAGCTCAGTCATGTGACCTAACAACCCACCATAAGTTACACTGACAAAAAGGGTGGTAAGTAAAACCATTTCAAAAGATTCTTTTGCTTCTTCCAGGCTCCACTGTTGAACAGAGTATGTAAACAAGAAGAAAATATTCATGCATGTTTGAGCCTTTGTAGAGATTTGAGGATAAAGGCAGATAGCCTCTATGCTTCTGCCTCATGACATCTCCCTGTTTCAACTTTCCTTTCTTCTTTTCCTTACTGAGTCACTTATCAACCCCACTGTCTCTCTCTCCCACATTCATCATTATGGCTGCTAACATTTTGCTCCTCGTGCTGCCAACATGCATTTCTTTCCCCCCTTCAAATCTCTTTTCAAGACCCTCTGTTAATATACATCAATTTATGAACTACAATAACCACATGATTTCTGTGCCACCTCCTATGCCACCCTTCTGTACTGCTCATCATGCACTGTTCAACCAGCTTGGATCTGCCCTTTCAAGATGGGTTGAAAGCTTTCCGATAGGGAAGACCCCCAACTGAAAATACAATCCCATACATTGATCAGAAGTCCCACCAATCCCAACTGGGCTTACTTCTATGAAAGTAGCTTTGGGAGCACAGCCTTAGGTTTCAGTTTTGCCCCCAAAACACAGCAGGTGCCAAGTGTTGGAAAAGTCTCTGTCCTGTAAAATTAACAGCTTTCTGTCCACTGTTAACTTTAAAAAATTGTATAGTATGGCCATGTCATACACGTATTTAACTTGCATGATTTTAATTATACATGGGCAATAAAGGGATGCTCTTGTGAAATCTCACAGGCAGTTGGACTGTCCCCTGAGAGCATCCCTAACATTCCCAGAGCCAGCGCACCAAGCAGGCCTTGCCTGAGAAGCCAGGCCAAGAGTGTATCAAGCTGTTTTTCTGCCAAGTAACTCCAAGCAGATTCAGCACAAAGAGATTTTAAGCTCTCGTCCTTGTTTCCCAGGCAAGGCCCACTTAGTGCTCTGGCTCTAGGATTGACAGGAGTTCTCTCTTTCTCTTCCCCTCACCAGCTACCTTACCCTCAACGGCTAGCTGTGGGGCAAATCCAATGGCAACACAGTTTTGGCTGCACATGGTTTTCACATATACACATTACCTCTGACGTGAGATATGGGGCAACTGTATACCACTTGCGCTGTTTACAGTCCACGGTCTAAAAAGATGAAGTGTACTTACATTTTTCTCTGCTAGTTCCAAAGGATGAACAGGGAAAAGTTCACTCTTCACATTTGTAAAGCTATAAAAACAATGTACAGTATTAGTACTGCAACTTTTATCTCAAAGTATCATTCACAAAATATTTTGGATAGCAATTCCAGGTAGAAGTTTTGTGGCTCTAAAGTCTGGAATTAATGGCATAGAATACATAAATAATAATAATAATAATAATAATAATAATAATAATAATAATTTATTATTTATACCCCGCCCATCTGGCTGGGTTTCCCCAGCCACTCTGGGCGGCTTCCAAAAGAATATTAAAACACTGTGATACATTAAACATTAAAAGCTTCCCTAAACAGGGCTGCCTTCAGATGTCTTCTAAAAGTCTGGTAGTAGTTGTTCTCTTTGACATCTGGTGGGAGGGCGTTCCACAGGGAGGGCGCCACTACCGAGAAGGCCCTCTGCCTGGTTCCCTGTAACTTGGCTTCTTGCAGTGAGGGAACCGCCAGAAGGCCCTCGGTGCTGGACTTCAGTGTCCGGGTAGAACGATGGGGGTGGAGACGCTCCTTCAGGTATACTGGACCGAGGCCGTTTAGGGCTTTAAAGGTCAGCACCAACACTTTGAATTGTGCTCGGAAACGTACTGGGAGCCAATGTAGGTTTTTCAAGACCGGTGTTATATGGTCTCGGCGGCCGCTCCCAGTCACGAGTCTGGCTACTGCAATCTGGATTAGTTGTAGTTTCCGGGTCACCTTCAAAGGTAGCCCCACGTAGAGCACATTGCAGTAGTCCAAGCGGGAGATAACCAGAGCATGCACCACTCTGGCGAGGCAGTCCGCAGGCAGATAGGGTCTCAGCCTGCGTACCAGATGGAGCTGGTACACAGCTGCCCTGGACACGGATTTAACCTGTGCCTCCATGGACAGCTGTGAGTCCAAAATGACTCCCAGGCTGCGCACCTGGTCCTTCAGGGGCACAGTTACCCCATTCAGGACCAGGGAATCCTCCACACCTGCCTGCCTCCTGTCCCCCCAAAACAGTACTTCTGTCTTGTCAGGATTCAATCTCAATCTGTTAGCCGCCATCCATCCTCCAACCGCCTCCAGACACTCACACAGGACCGTCACCGCCTTCACTGGTTCTGATTTGAAAGAGAGGTAGAGCTGGGTATCATCCGCATACTGATGAACACCCAGCCCAAACCCCCTGATGATCTCTCCCAGCGGCTGCATGTAGATGTTGAAAAGCATGGGGGAGAGGACAGAACCCTGAGGCACCCCACAAGTGAGAGCCCAGGGGTCTGAACACTCATCCCCCACCACCACTTTCTGAACACGGCCCAGGAGGAAGGAGCGGAACCACTGTATGACAGTGCCCCCAGCTCCCAGCCCCTCAAGACGGTCCAGAAGGATGTTATGGTCGATGGTATCAAACGCTGCTGAGAGATCCAGCAGAACTAGGAAACAGCTCTCACCTTTGTCCCTAGCCCGCCGGAGATCATCAACCAGTGCGACTAAGGCAGTTTCAGTCCCGTGATGAGGCCTGAATCCCGACTAGAAGGGATCCAAATGGTCCGCTTCTTTGCAAAATCATTGCAGGAGATCATGTGGCCCTTACTGGGCCCCGATGTAGCAGGTGGTTCCGCTAAATTGCGGACCACCTGAAAAAGTCTCCTGCTGCTGTTTTCTGCAGATGCAATAGAGGCGGTGAAGAAAGTCTTCTTCGCTGTCACTACCGCCACTTGGTAGGCTCGACATTGAGCTCTAACCTGTGTCTGGTCAACTTCAGAATGGGTCATCCGCCACCGGCGCTCTAGCCGTCTCAACGATTGTTTCATTGCCCTCAGATCCGTGGAAAACCACGGGGCTGTCCGGGCTCCATGCAATCGGAGAGGGCACCAGATGGTAAGTGGCAGGAAGGAGCAGGGCCCTCAGACACTCACACAGGAGAGTCCTCCTGGGCAGCGGAGCACAGCAGTCCTTGTGAGGCTTCAGGCCCCGCCCTGGGCCAGATGGTAAGTGGCAGGAAGGAGCAGGGCCCTCAGACACTCACACAGGAGGAGAAAATAACTATTTTCTCTTCTTCAGTAGGGTGGAAGTAATTATACCAGCTATGTGTGTGCAGGAAACAAATACTGTAAAATGTAATGCCTGTTTGCATATTCTCTTGGAAGTGAGTCTCCCTATCTACAGTGCGGCTATTATCTTTTATTTATTTAATTTGTATACCACCCTTCATTCAAAAAATAAAAATACAAAATGAGACACAAAATAAATAATAAAATACATAATAATAAAAACAAAAACAAACCAATAGCACCCCACATCCAATAAACACATTTAAAAGGTCAGAAAGGTTTTTGCCTGGCACCTAAATATATGCAATGAAGGTGCCAGGTGAGCCTCTTCAGGGAGAGCTTTCAACAAATGGTGAGCCACCACCAAAAAGGCCTGTTTTCACTTTCCCACCCTCTGGACCTCTCATGTAGGGGGCACATGAAGAAAGGCCTCAGATGATGATCATAGGGTCTGGGTCAGTTCGTGTGCAGAGGAGTGAGTTGTCAATTTTGGCTTTAGTTTAATGTATAATAGAACTTTTTACCTTTCTTATTTTATAGGCAAAACAAAATGAACAGTCACCACACTCAACCCGAATACAACTACGTGTCAGTCTGAGCAATGATTTTTGCTTTCTTTTTCAGGGATCTGAGCCAGAACAATATAAATTAAAAAACAAAAAACCAAATAGAACAAACCCAGAGTAAGATGAACATTTACATTTTCAGAAATGCAAATTATTGAAGCTTAAAACTGTACCGTTCACTTAGCTGTTTTTTTAAACAAACTCTGGTAGTTGACACTATTCTGAGTCAAAACTAGTCCATTTGAAGCTATTTGATATGTAACAAACCTGTCCATAATAGCTAGCAAGCATCTGATTTTAAAATCTTCTGACTGAGCACCTAGAAAATTCTGTAATGAATAAGAACCTTTCTCTAAGTTAATTGTATATAGGGCAATACAGGATATACTACGCTTTGACTGAGCCCAATTCATCTTCGATCTGGCCTTATTCATATATTATTTGGTTGCTTTTTTCCAGAACAATGAAGTCAAAGTGACTTAAAAACATTAAAACAAGTGTAAAAACAAGAGAAAAACAACCTAAAATGCTCAGAAATAATATGCATTACACAGATAGTTGTTTATTGCTCTACTGAATAAGTTACTGGTCAGATATTGTGTAAGTATAATTGCAAATTGAAATTCACATCTCAAAGGAAAAATAGAAAATTTACAGGGGTAAGCAGCCCTTTTATGATCAGATTTACATTTAATATACCCATATACCCATCCAAGGACTCAGAATTCATCATGCATTCGAAGTCCACTTTGGCATCTTAAGGAAAAATTACATAATGGATTTTCTGCTCAGAAATATCCTCAAATGACATTACAGGGGAAACTGAATAGTTCAACAAGAAACTGTTGCAGCATTGTGCAAGGACCTTGAAGCTTATCCACGAGAAGATCATCCGCTTTTGTATTTTTTCCTGTCTCCTATTTTAATGCTTCCAATGCTTTTTTGTTTATCTGTTTTTCAGTTAGTCTTATTTGTCTGTGTATCTTTATGACAATTCTGGAAGGTCCCTTGAGTTAGAAAGGCATGGCATATTTTCATTAAAAGCAATAAACAATGGCGGACAATTTTTCTGAAATAAAACTTGATCACCACTATAGCGTTTACTCTGCAGTGTTGCCACAGAAGCCATGCACGCTGCTCACATGGTGTTTTAGTGATGTCCAACAAGCCTGACAAAAGTCCAGTGTAAACAAGCAGTGTCCCCAGAGAAGGTTCTTAAAATATCTACAACATACAGGGGAGCAGGAATGAGCTCCCTGGATGCAGATATTATAAATGACTGCCTTCTTCTGCCTGCATTCTTTCTGTTGTTGCAAAATATCCATTAAATAAATGAGATAATAGCTTGGAGAAATTGTGCAGCGTATACATTTTAAATTGCCAAAACTGTAAGGAGTATTGCAGGTTTAAATATATAAATTCAGATTTGTTTAATGCCACATGTGAGGAAATCACAGGGACAATGTAAAAAAAGATTACTTAGGACATTATTGTCCATCCTATCAATTATATCTGATAGCAAATATATAGCTCAACATGTTGGCTGTCATTTCATGAGACATTTCAAAGAAAGAGCTATGGTTTATTTTAACTAGTCCTAATGCCTTGCCTACGTATTTAGTGGAATATTGCCCACATATATACAGAAGCACTGCATGCCTAATGCTGCCACTGAACAAAATAACACGACACGACGGTCAATAACAATGGCACTAAACACTATTTATAAGCTAATACAAATGATCATAAATTGCAACCAAAGTCTCTAAATCTTCTTAACCAATCACAGAATAATTCAATCTTGATCAATTCTTCATCAGCCAGACTTGTAAGAATTAATATGAGAAGGATGCAGTTCAGTTTCTTAACAAGCCAAACTTACATGTAAGTAAATATAAACGCTGCAGAAAATATGCTCTGGATCAGTGCTCATGTGATACTGTGACTTCTCATATTAATTCTTACAAGTCTGGCTGATGAAGAATTGATCAAGACTGGCTGATGAAGCATTGAACGATACAGATTGGCTATCCGGAAACTCTGTTCCGGTGATATTTGGTAACAGATTATGTATATATCAAACTTTTGAATTATTCTACCGCGACTGGTTAAGAAGATTTAGAGACTTTGGTTGCAATTTCTGATCATTTGTATTAGTCTATAAATAGTGTTTAGTGCCATTGTTATTGGCCATTGCCATCGTGTTATTTTGTTCAGCTTTTCTGTATTGCAACACAGGGGTCTGTTTACGGATTAATGCTGCCACTGGTCTGTTTCAACAGAAGAGTGTTCTCTTCTTGTCAAGCCCAACCTATGAAAATGATTCTGCCCAGAGCCTCAGGGGAATGGGATCAGTTTCTAAATTCCACCTTCAAACTAGGCCAAACCAAGTTCACCCTGTTCCCGCTATGTGGGAGCTCTGACATTCACGTGGTCCCTTCATTCCATGAGGCAGGCTGCTGGGAAACTGCAGTTCTGTCTGCTTCTGGAGGAAGGAAGGCAAAGAGCTTTCCACCCAGTTCAAGAGGCTGAACTGGCTCCTCCACTTCAGGCAAGCAGGAAGCGCTCTGGAGACGGACACAAAATCTTGGATGGATCCAGTTTTAGTTCCACAATTCTGCGGAAAGAATCTTTATTTAAGGCTCCTACTGTCAATAAATTTATGAAGACAAATAACTGGGTGTAACTTTGGAAGATCACCTCACGCAAATATTTAGTAAACAAATGTTTTGTATCTAAGGAACTGCTCACCCCACGTGGGAGAGATGAGCTCCCTTTCCTTTTGAAGTCAGAGGGGCAGGGTGGGGACTTCTCTTCTTACTGCAGTCCTTCATCCAAGATGGATAGAAGAGGTGGAGATGGCCTATTTGGGGCTCACCACCTTCCCAGGTAAGCACTGCTGCAGATTGATGGGATTCATTTGCGAGTGGGGAAGTGAGAGCTTCTTTTTCCTCTCTCCTCTCAACAGTCTTGAGCAAGCCACCTCTACACAACCCACTTGAAGAAAAGCAGACCAAGGACACAATTCATCCAGGAGGCAGAGAAAAACCATTTCAAACACACTTTGGATCTCCATTATCAGGCGCACAAGGAATTCACCAATGTATTTCAATGGCTTTCTAGTGCTTACCCTCTATTAATCACATCACAGCTTTCAAATGCGCCAGCAGCTGAAAAATCAGAAACTGGAATACAGTCCTTCAGCTGAGATCCAAATGCTCTGGTATTCTGAAACAGAGATAATTTACTATTAGGAATGTACAACTCAAGAATGCTTTCAAAATGACTGCTGCTAGGTACATTTGTTTTCAAGGGGTGGAATTCAATTTTGCGCTACTATAAATATTCTGTCTGTGCAAGCGTTTCAGCTTGCTGGACAGAATGATTCCCAACCACACTGTTCTGGGGGTGCTCCCAACTCTCCCAGCGCCAATGCTAGGGGGCATGGAGAGAATGGCAAAATCCCTCTGTGCAAGCAGAAGACCTTGCACGGGGCTTCTTAGATGAATCCCACCCAAGAGGTCTAATTTAGTAACTTTGTTAACTAGAGATCACACCAATCAAAATTTAGGCTACTTTAGAAGGCAGACAAGACCTGTAGAAAATAAAGCAATACATGCGTGTTGACTCCCAAAGTTACTTCATCTACCAAATATGGACACAAATTTCAGTTTGGGGAATATACCCAGCCAGATGGGCGGGGCATAAATAATAAAATTATTATTATAATCCACTGTGATTTATTTTCAAACTGTCTATAAATGGCTTCATCATGGTGGTCCCCAATAACACTTACTTGCTGCTCATGGTATGTAAAAGAGTTTAAACCCAAATACAATCTCTCAGGCGTCTTGCATGTAAGTATTCTAATTTGCTGAACGCTGCTTTGTTCTTCATGTTCTAAATCTCACTCTGATGCTCTTGAAGTGGTCTTCTGACCAAACTCTCCAAAAGCAATTCTAATATAGCAAGCCTAGGTCAACCAGACAGTTGCTAATGAAAATGTAAGCACTTTCCTACTAATCTCCAGGTGCCACGTCTGCCCACCTGGTTTAGAAAAAGGTGTTCTTCCATCAATTGTACAAAGCAGGTGGGAAGAGAAAAGTGAGCACTGTCAGGCCTTTTATATTGGGTACTCTGCTTGCCTCTTGATTTCAAGAATGTGCTTAAGAAATAAACGTGTTACAATGTTAATTCTGCAGAGATAAGAAAAATAAAGCAACAGAAATAGTGGGTCTAAAATCAGCTTAGTTAATATTTGTAACACAAAGAGAACACTATTATTCTCCATTGTTCTGTCCAGCATATCAATTTCTTCTCTATGAAAGAGATCAGACTCGAACACATTTTTGGAACTTTACATGCAGTTGTGAGCAGTTATTTATTATTAATAACACACCGCAGGAGACAAAAACCAGGAAAAAAAGTCCACAAAAAAGGTGAGGGGATACATAACAGACTGATTTATGAACAGACATACAAACTGACGCAATATGGGCTACCGGACAGGAGACTGGACTAGAAGTCAGGATTCCAGCAAGTATAAGCAGCATTTCTGTTTCCTTTCCCACCATCAGTTTTTCTTGTTTATTTTAGTTGTACATTGTTTGTGTCTCTTGCAAACAGTCTGTATAGTTTTTTGCACCACACACAATCCTGGCTGGAATCTCCAGGCGCTTCCTTTACACAAACATACACCTCCATTTTGCAAATATTTGGAGTGCATAAATTAAAAGCAAGCTGAATTATTACAGCACAGGGTCTGAAATTGGATAGATTAAGTAAATAAAAGGACTGAACTGCAGGAAATCCCTCCGACAGCGACACTGACACAACTGTTCTATTGCTTCCCTGTGGAAGTGAGATGTTTGCAAAGTAAGCCTGCAAAATCTTTGGGAATGGCCAGTAGACAGTGACCCAGCAACACTGGCAAATGAAGAGTAGGCCCATAACAGAGGAAATGTATTTTGTTGCTCTGGAGTGGGTTAATTTTCCCCCCTTAAAAATACTACACCATCCCTTAAGTTATGATGAAGCCAGGTGTTGATAGTGCATTTCAGCCCTGTACTTTCTACATCAATTGTGACAACTCTTTCTACCCATTACACCAATGGTGAACCCAAGCAAGAACTTGTGTATGATAACAGTTACCCCACAATGCAATTCCTTTTTATCTTTAATTGGAATGTTTCTACCTGTGGCTGTTCTGTTTACCATTTCTTCTTGCTATGAATTTACATTATATGGATGTTTGTTATATTCTCCACTACACCTCACTGACAGCCTGGTGCTGGAAGAGTCAATATCTGTACTCTGTTGTATTGAATTCGCCACCGGTAGTTCATGGTGAATACAGAAGAGGATGCCAGATGTATCTGACACAAGCTGATCTTTTTTCTTCCTCTGTGCTTTTGACAAAAGCCTACCACGCAGAAATATGACTAGCAAAGAAAAAATTTACACCTCTTATCTCCATCTCAGGAAAAACCATACAGAAATTTAGCAAGTGATGCTTTTTGGCACAGAGTGACTTGGTGGGAAGAGTTTCACCAGCTACATTTATGTATTAAAGCCCCCCCCCCAGGCCCACACATAAAGAAAAAGGCTACAATCCTACTCAAGAGCATTACTCCAGTAAATACAAATAGTGAGGTTGCTGAGTAACTGTGATAAAAAGGGAAAGCTGGACAAAGAAAAGCAAAACAGAAACTGGAACAAATTTTTTTAAAATAAATAAATCTCAAAGGGCACATCCAGGGCTGGATTTAGGTTTGATGAGGCCCTAAACTACTGAAGGTAATGGGGCCCTTTATATATCCAGCTGTCCTTTGTCAACAACTAATTGTCGGTTTTTTGTGTTGAATATATGCGGGGCCCACTGCTTACACCATAGGAGCCTACACAACACAGTTGCTGTATGTAGGTTTTATTTTATTTTATTTTTTATCTTATATTTTGGAAATGTACATCCAGCTGGTTTTTCCTTATTTTTTGGGGGGGGGGGGCCCTAAGCTATAGCTTGTTTAGTTGACAAGTAAATCCGGCACTGGCACATTCACTTATAGCAGCGTCCAGGCCATGAATTCCCAGCTCCCTCTTCACGGTGAAGACATGGACACGTCTGGATGCGGCAGAAGAAGAAGAAGAAGAAGAAGAGGAGGAGTTTGGATTTGATATCCCGCCTTTCACTCCCTTTAAGGAGTCTCAAAGTGGCTAACATTCTCCTTTCCCTTCCTCCCCCACAACAAACACTCTGTGAGGTGAGTGGGGCTGAGAGACTTCAAAGAAGTGTCACTGGCCCAAAGTCACCCAGCAGCTGCATGTGGAGGAGCGGAGACTCAAACCCGGTTCCCCAGATTACGAGACTACCGCTCTTTAACCACTACACCACACTGGCAGGCGGGAACTCCTTTCAGACAACGCATGTCGTGAGGGAAAGAGAGGGGGCTTCAATGCGAAGTGTGCACGCGGGGGGGGGGCATCTCTCATTAGGATCCCCCAGACCCGCCTCAGCCCGGCCGCGACTCGAGAGGGAGGGAGGGTCGTGATGAGGGCACCCCCTTCGCACGCAGAAAGCTCCGAGTTCAGTCCCCGGCACTTCCAGGTGGGCCTAGGAGGGACCGTAGCCTTAAATCCCGGGGAGCCGCTGCCAGTCAGTGCGGACAATACCGAGCTGGGTGGACCAACGGCTCTGACTCGGCATTAAGACAGCTTCCTATGTTCGTGAGGCGGATAGAGATAGAGAGAGGGTCCCCCCCCGGGACTCCCCCCCCCCGGCTATCGTGACGCCAGTTCGCCTGACGCCCCCAGGGTGACCCGGCCCCAAGACCACGTTCCTTGACTGAACGCCGCTTACCATCTTTGCACCGTCACTCGCTCCCTCTTCCTTCCGCCAGCTACGAGCAAGGGCAGTGACGTCGCGCGTGCGTGCGTGCGCACGGGATGGCTCTCGCGAGAAGTGTTAAAGCTCGGGCGGGAACGAGCGAGGGCCGGCGAGGTAAACGGCTCGTCCTGGCGCCGAAAGAGAGGACGGCTCCCGCCTCTCGGCGTCGTGTGGAGGGAGCATGAGGGGAGCGGCGCGCGGTGTTTCGCCTCTTTCGCCCGCAGCTCTTGCCTCAGCGTCAAAGGTTCAATACGCCCCTAGCTGATAATAACATTAAAACTGTCTGAAGCGCCCCGGTACGGAGCGCGACAGCAGAACTCCAGTAAAACGCAATAAAGGTGACGTGTGAGGCATTTTTTTTTTAAGCTGAGAAACAAAAGCAGCGGTTCAGAAACGAGTAACAGCCCTTTAAAAACGCTTAAGCGACCAAGAAAGCGTTATAGCCCTGTACTTGAAAATAACGTGTTGGCGCCAGTCCAAACTTCGACAAAAAATACCTCAGCGCAACCTTGGAACACCTCAGAAAGGGTTCAGCTGCGCTTTGTAAGTGGCTGCTTAAATTAACGCGTTCTGGCTGGCTTGCTTTAATTGTTTGATTTTGCTGTGTTACCATCTTGGTATTGTATCCTGCTTGGAGGTGATTTCACAATGAAAAGCGAGTAACAAGTTTTGTATAATACCAATACACTGTAAAATCAGTAAAGCGGATATTCTTTCTACTAGCCACTCTTAAACGTCCTACTTCAGTAACTGTTCAAACCTGGGCTGCCAAAAAACAACACAGTTGCATGCCACCTCAATCTCTGTTCAGTGGAGACTGGTGTTTTTATGATATATGGTTCATTTTACACACATAACCTGAGCCTGCCATGCAGGGGCGCTTAGCATTGACACCCCACAATGTCTTGCTTGTCCCATAGTCACACAGCCTTGGTTGGATGAGAGCAGAAAACAAGCATGGCTCTCCCTCTGGCTTCTCACACACCACTCTATTATTGCTCTCAGGTGAGGGGAAAGGGCCCACCCAGGTATCCTCTTGCACAAAGCCACTTCTTTTGCTATATTAAAGGTCATGCTTAGGCCCAATGCTATTTTTCTAGAAAAAGAGGTGCCACAACTCGCAATGGACAACTTCTTTGTTCTCCGAGAATGGTAATGGTGCTCACCTGAGAGGTGCCGGGACGGAGTTCCTGTGAGTTCCCCCGGGGGGCAAAGTTAAATGCACTTGAGAGACAGTAGAATGTAAATAATTTTTGACGTTTTTAAGGGGGCAGGTATTATTCTGCCTAATCAAATTTGGCGTGACCCAGCCTGAGCAGGTGGAAATATGATTCAGAATTATGAGCCTCAGAAATAAATGGCATTAGTGTGCACACAGTGCATCTGTCTCCACAAAGAAGAACCTCTGTTTAATAAGATGATTCCACTACTGGTTTAAAATAGAGGGAGGGAATCAACATAGTGATAAAACAGATTGCTCCAACAGCGCAAGCATTTGCCCTTTCCTCCCACGAGGCTCCAATTTTGTACATATGGCATATACCTATAAATCTGCCAGTGTCCACAGGGTAGCTAAATTCAATACTCTCAAAGTCCAGACATGTCTATTGATTATAGTTCCTAGAATATGTTCAGAAATCTAACTCTCTTCACTTCATCTCCTTTACCTTCTTTTTTGTATAATTGAGAAATGAATCCAGTGGCAGAACCTTTTGTGATTGTTTGACTGATAATATTCTATACTCCAAATTTGTAGGGGACACAGTTTGAAGTGGAACACATTCTCAAACAGTTATTGAATAACCGCTTCCCCATTATCTCATGGCATCTGCTTGACTTTCAGCTACGCTCATTCAGCTTGTAAGTATAGCTCCTTTTCAAACAAGTTTGAGTGGATCAGGGGAATGTATGTTTCTGTTTTATGCATGTTTTCATTATTTTTGGTTAATAACAGTTTATTTAATGACAGATTTTTTAAAAAGAAAGAAAAGAATTTTTATTCACATGGGTGTAGCTAAGGGGGGGCAGTGGGCAGCTGCCCCCTAAATCAATCAAAACCAATACAAATCTGAGGTTCTGCCCACCTAACAAAAGCCTGCCCTCCACTAACAAAAATCCTGGCTGTGCCTATGCTTATTCACTAAAAAATTGAAAAGATTAAATTCATTTATTCATTAAATCAATGTGCACTAATAGTTGCTGCACCACCTAAATTGCCTTCAATTGTGAACATGAGGAATAGGAAGAATTGAATATATATATTGTCCAGTAGCACCTTAAGGTAAAGGTACCCCTGCCCGTACGGGCCAGTCATGTCCGACTCTAGGGTTGTGCGCTCATCTCACTTAAGAGGCCGGGAGCCAGCGCTGTCCGAAGACACTTCCAGGTCACGTGGCCAGCGTGACGAAGCTGCTCTGGCGAACCGGCACCAGCGCAGCACACGGAAACGCCATTTACCTTCCTGCCGGAGCGGTACCTATTTATCTAATTGCACTTAGGGGTGCTTTCGAACTGCTAGGTGGGCAGGAGCTGGGACCGAAATACGGGAGCTCACCCTGCCGCGGGGATTTGAACTGCCGACCATGCGATCGGCAAGTCCTAGGCGCTGAGGTTTTACCCACAGCGCCACCCGCGTCCCAGTAGCACCTTAGAGACCAACTAAGTTTGTTCTGGGTACAGTTTAAGCTTTCGTGTGCATGCACACTTCTTCAGATACTGGTACCTGTTTGAAATGGGTCAAGATAATTGACTTAATGCAAGAATTCCTGCAACTGCTGTGTTGCAACCCTTCCAAAAAGGGATTATTTACGACCTCAGGGTTGTTGTCACAAACAAGTGGGTCCAGGGTGGGCTTTTACAAAAGTGGTTGTATGAGTAAATAAACAAATGTAATTACAATGGAGGAGTAAAGAAGTAAATGAAACTCTTAATAAATGAAAATAATTTATTACACGCACATAATTACAATACCTCCCAAAAATGTTTACAACCTTCTTTAAAAAAAAAGTCTTTAAAATGACAAAAAAAGAATTTCATTACCAACTTAAGGATGTGTTTCAAAGGTTGTCCTTTCCAACAAGAGCTTACACAACAAAATTGGTTCAATAAGTATGCCAGGAAGGACAAGGGACATTAGCTAGTGAGGGTACGCAACTTTGCTGCAGGAAGAGCCAGAATTGAATATATGGCTATTGTGGCAGTAGCCCCAGAGCTGAATGTGTGGGAAGCTAAAGCTGCAAAGGGAAAAATTAGGCCTGTCTCTACTGCAAAGGGAATTTTAAAGTGATGCCATTAGCACCATGCTCCTAGTCAGTATTCAAAGGACAGATTTGGGAAAGGCAATGCTACACCAGTGTTTTTGCCATTATGGGTCACCCACTGTCACTGCCCCTTCTGTGGCTGCTGTGCTTCTTCCCATATAGCTACTAGGCACATTTTCTCCAGCTCCAGTATGGTATATTATCAAAAAATATGTGCTAATAATATTTGACACTTCATTCAATTTTATTTGTCTGAAGGATCCAGAAAAACAACTACAAAGCAGGAAGTAATTTAACATTTTTGTCTATATGTTTTAGTTTGTATTTTTCAAGATAATAGTAACTACAAAGGTTCTTATAATTTGATATAGGTAAGTGGTTTTTTTCCCAACTGATGTGATGTAGGATGAACAAAAAGAAACAACTGCATGTTCCTGTTTAGTGAAACTTCTAGAAAAAAATCAGGCTCGTCACTAAATATATTTATTTATTGAGTGTTTTGGTTTGTTGATGAGGAAATGACTATAGAGATGAAACATTTACATTTCAAAGTTTTTCTTGTAGGATATAGACTGGACACCATCACTACACGTACATTACTGACATCATCTTCATGTTTAGGCTGCATAACAGAAAGGAATGTAGCCTTGTAGTAAAGATTTGGTTTTCTTTTAAAGGCAGACTTCCACACTAGGATAAACTTCTAGACATAAATAGAATAAGATGTTTGCTCCTTTGTTTCAACCAATCTGTGAAATTTACAATTTATTTCTCATCCTTCCTTTAAAGAACATAGAACAATATATTAAGAAAACAATCCTATTTGTGTTTACTCAGGAGTAAGCCCCACCGTGTTCAGTGGGGTTTACTCTTATGTAAAAGGGTAGGCAAACATGTCTGGGAGAAAGCATCATTGCATGTAGTCCAATGGGCAGATCAATCCAAACTATCAAAAGCCAATATAATTTACACCAAGGTAAATTATGCCATTGTAACTCACCTATTTGAAACTCCATTTGGGAGTGGGGCTACTGGCAACTTAGACTTCTTGAGCGTAACAGAGGGAAGCTTTACTTGTGTTTTCCAATAGCTACAATTATAGATAACTATCTATCTATATATATAGTTTGAAAGCACGTCAAAGTGCAAGTAGACAAATAGGTACCGCTCCGGCAGGAAGGTAAACGGCGTTTCCGTGCGCTGCTCTGGTTTGCCAGAAGCGGCTTAGTCATGCTGGTCACATGACCCGGAAGCTGTACGCCGGCTCCCTCAGCCAATAAAGGGAGATGAGCGCCGCAACCCCAGAGTCGGTCACGACTGGACCTAATGGTCAGGGGTCCCTTTACCTTTTTTTATCTATCTATAACAGCTAATACTGTACTTAATTTGGTCTTTCATCTATTTGTGGTTCCCTGGCAAGGGGCTTGCCCTACATATTTCCCATTGGTTCTCAACACCTTGCTGCTTTATGCCAGATCAATGAAACGGAAATCAGCTGTTATTCAAAACTTAAGTGTCAGATCAACCCATTAACCTGGAATGCATAATTGAGACCTGGGTCGTGTGGGTGGTCATGTCTATTGTTACAGATCTAGGATAACTGAGTTTGGGGGTGCAAGGGCACCCATAACTGCCAGTTAGTTAATGTTAGAAACTAATACAGGGATGCGGGTGGCGCTGTGGGTTAAACCACAGAGCCTAGGACTTGCCGATCAGAAGGTCGGCGGTTCAAATCCCCGCGATGGGGTGAGCTCCCATTGCTCTGTCCCAGCTCCTGCCCATCTAGCAGTTCGAAAGCACGTCAAAGTGCAAGTAGATAAATAGGTACCGCTCTGGCAGGAAGGTAAACGGTGTTTCCGTGCGCTGCTCTGGTTCGCCAGAAGCGGCTTAGTCATGCTGGCCACATGACCCAGAAACTGGATGCCGGCTCCCTCGGCCAATAAAGCGAGATGAGTGCCGCAACCCCAGAGACCGTCACGACTGGACCTAATGGTCAGGGGTCCCTTTACCTTTACTTTCTATATCTTTATAATAACAATATGATCTCAGCAAAAATAATGGCCAGTGGGCAGGGAGAATTATCTGGTTTTGATAGTAGTTCAATATGAAAGGAGATTCAGTGGTCATGGGCAGTGCTGAGGACTAGGGTTCCCTCTAGATATACTGCTATTATTCATTGTTGTTATTCAGTGTTTCAAATTGCTTGTCACTCAGTCCTATGAAAGCATACTCAGAAGATAAAAGTGCACTGTGTTCAATGAGGCTTATTTACATAGGACCACAACCTTAAGTAAACTGTTAAGTATGTAGGACATGATTTTCGATAAACCCTTTGCTTTGTTTTTGCTGCAACAGATTAACACATGCTATTCATCTAGAAATGGTTAATTCATTTCCATAGGTCTGCTTATAATCAAGTTGTTTTAAGTTCTTCACCTATGAATATACATAACCTAATAAAAAGAGATCATTTTCACAGTGTTGTTGTCACATAACAATAGTAATAAAAGTGTATTGTGATTATAGTTATACCTTTATAATGTCAGTGAACACCCTGTTCCACATATATAAACCTCTACGGGAAAAAGCTTTATCCTGTTGAGGAAAGATTTCTTATACCAAGAATTTGTCAACAGCCATTCATGAACTTGTTAAAGCGAAAGTACTTTTTATTTGCATTCATGAAATAAAATAAACATATTTTCTTTGATCCTTAGCCAACCCTTTATTGTTAACTTGCACTAGACTTTTATGTTTCAGTGCTCATTGTACATGTAATTATTTGAAAAGTGATTTTGTTTTAAATTATTTAGCCTTTTCTGAATTTTAGATAAACACAGGCATGTTTTGCTAGCGATTAAAAATACATTTCACCCAACACTGCAGAACGTAGCAAAGATAATAATGTGTAGGCGTCAGTGTGTTCCAAAACAAGACTCTCTGGGGACCCCTTTTAACACACTGCTACGTTAAAATCGTGTTCTGAAAGCCTCAGGAAACCCCTACTCGAACCCACCCTTTCCTGAAACTGGTGAAAGTATTTTTAAAAACACTGGAGTGAAAAAAGGCTACTGCTAAAATATTGCCAAACCAGATTGTTTCATTTAGTTACTGTTACCAGGTTTTTTATCTTTCAATATATTGATAATTCTAGTGTTACCAATAATAATGTTAAATAAAATGTTAATGATGTCAGAATACCTCACAGTATAATGAGAAAAGTAGGTTTCCACGACATAGTCTGTGATAACATATTTTAATTATACGTCATATAGTCTTTTCTTTTTTAAAAAAATACATTTTCATAGAATTGTAGAGTTGGAAGGGGCCCCAAATTTCATACTATCCAACCCCCTACAATGCAGGAATCACAAGTAAAGAATCCCAACAGATGGTCATCCATGCTCTGTTTATAAACCTTCAGTGAATGAGATTCCACCACCTTTTGAGATAGTCCATTCCTCTGTCAAACTGCTCTTACTGTCAGAAAGGTATTCCTAATGGTTAGTTGGAATCTCTTTTCTTGTAATTTGAATCTATTCAATCACTATTCATTGATGCTACCTGTAGCATCTTATTCAGTTCTGGTGTTTTTACCTCATTCAACAACTTGCAACTTTATTCTTCGTTTACTGCCATATTGGATTCGATCCAGATTTGCAATGCAGTCCTAACCATTTCTACTCAGATGCAAGCTTTATTGAATTCATTGTAGTATATTCCCAGATAAGAATGCTGAATATAATAGCCCTGCTGGATCAGGCCAGTGGCTCATTTAGTCCAGCTTGCTGTTCTAATAGTGGCCAACCACTCTCCTTTCCTGCAGTTTACAGCAACTGGTATTCAGAAGCATAATGGTGGTAGAACAATAGTCATTGTGGTTAATAGCCATTGGTAGCTTAGTGTTCATGAATTTGTGTAATCCTGTTTAAAAGCCATCCAAGTTGGTTGCCGTCGCTGCCTCATGTGAGGGCAAATTCTATAGTTTAACTATGCATTGCATAAATAAGTACATCCTTTTGTCTGTTCTGAATTGTCCACATTCAGCTTCATTGGATGTCCACAAGTTCTAGTGTTATGAAAGAGGGGGAAAAAACTAATCCACTTTCATTGTGCCATGCATATTTTTAAAAACTTCTATCATGTTACCTCTTTCTCACCTTTTCTTGAAACTTAAGATGTTCCAAACACTTCATCCTTTGTTCATAGGGGAGTTTCTCCAGCCACTTTATCATTAGTTTCCATTTTTAAACCTTTTTCAATTCTACAACATCCTTTTTGAGGTGAGGCAGCTAGAACTGGAAATGGTATTTCAAATACAGTTGCAGAGTAGAGGTGGGGTTGCAGCCTTAGTCATATTTATGCTTCAGGTAGATTCATTGAAATTAGTGGAACAATTCCATTGATTTCAGTGAGTCTATTCTAAGCATGATTAAGTCTGGATTCATTTTTTCTTCAATCAAAAGTTTTATTTATTTCTTATACCCCTCCTTTCAAGAAGCTTCCTTCAAGAAGTGGTATATATCTACTCCTCATTGTATCCTCACAATAAGGTGACGTAGGTTAGATAGAGAGAAAGCAACTGGGCTAAGGTGAGTTGTAGCTAGTGGCTGAGTGAGGATTTGAATCCTGATCTCATGTGTTCATAGTCTGACTAATACATCGTATGTAAATGATTGTAAGGTAATTATTTCATTTAAGACAAGGTTCCGCATGTGACATTAACATATGAGAGTGCTGGAGGTGAAATAGTTAAAACAGTTAAATAGATACCCAATCAGAACCCAGGGAGTTGGAGTCAGAGGGACTATAAAACCAGCTCTGGGAGGGGCGAAGGGGGGAGTTCGTTGGGAGTTGGGTGGTTGGTTGGAGTGGGAGTGAATTGGGATAGAGTCTGGGGGTAGGTTGAGTTTGTGTAGCGAAATAAGCTGAGTCAGGAACAGTTAGGAGCTAGGAAGACGAGTAAATATCTGAGGGGTAGTTTAGTGAGTGAGAGCAGGTAGCGGAAGTTATAGGTCTGGATAGGCAGCCCATGCTTGTAATTGACTGAGACCATTTATGAAACCACACGCTTGTTAAACTGCAATAAATAAACAGAAGTTTATGTTCCAATTTAACCCTGACTGGACTCCGTATTTTACCAGGTAGGGCCTGGGTGGTGGCAGCGAGAAATAAAGTGGTGGCACAGGGATCAATAGACGGTGAAACGTCCAGGGAACCTGTGTTATTGCCACACCGCACAGACAGCATATTTGCACAAAGCAGATTCCGTGCATCAGAGAGGAACCAGGAACAAATGAAGTTCACTCCACCAAGACACCTGCCTTGAAACCAAAATACTGGGAGTGTAATATTTGCAAATGATCACCAGAGGGTGCTCAGTGGCTAAGTGTGCTTGACCTTTGACAATGCTAACTGTGCCTGCTGAGAATGCTGCTGCTGTTTCAGCACCACGTTAGATTATACAGGTCTTTTAATTGTATTCTATGAATGTAAAAATGTTGTAGATCAGAAACATTTAGATCTAGAATATGTGTAGATAGAAAAGTACATGAAATACAGTATTTTAGGGCCAAACTAAATATGACATGGGAGAGGCATTGTGTCCCTGGTGTTTGTTTTGTTGCTAAAAACATCTCTGTGGGACTCTGGTGCTGGGGAAAGAGGTCTAATCCTTCTCTCCCAACCTGCACCATGGCCTAATCTTAATTGCCCTTGTAAAGTTGCTGTTCTCCTTATGGTGGGAAACATAAAGCACTCATATTATGTTTTCCTCGTAACAGCTTCAGTCAGGGTTGCAGAAAAGGTGGGCAGAAAGAATTAGATCTCCCTCCAGGGCCACAGCCCTGATTCAAATGTCATCTTTCTGATTCTCTTTCAGCAAAAGAAAAAGATGTGTCCTGTTTAGTTTGACCATGAAGGAATATATATATAACTGAGGTCCTGGGGAACAATGCATTAAACAAGATGATATGCAAAACAGTAACAATATGTGGGTGTCGTGCCTTACCTAAGCCTGAACCATGACTCTTCCTCAAATGAAGACCCTGATAACACAAAGTATGAAGACCTTTTGGGGCCTTAATGAAATTAATTTCATTGAACTGTTAAGTTTTTTCATATTGTAGAAAATAAAATAAAATGCAGTAATATATTTATTGCCAGTAAAGGTCAGAAATACAGACATTGGCTCTGTTATGCAGCCTGATGCTCAAGGACTATTAAGACAACATAATTCGTGGATACTGAATCCACTACCTGTCTGGCAATGTTGTTGCATTTTTTTGTCGTAATGTACTTTAAATTCTTTACATCTGGTGTTAGGCTGAAAAGAAAACTTGAAATTCACATCAGCAGTGGATCTTTCCCTAGTTTTCCATTCATCTCTGCCAGTGTATCCTCATCCAGTCCCACGCAGTCAATGCTGGCTTTCTACCCTGGATCACCTTCAAAGCATCTGACAACTGCAAAGGTTTTGAAGATATGCATTCATTGTTTATTTTCAATATTCATTCTTAATTACATGGAAACCAGCAGCTCATTTTTTTCTTAAGCTAAATCAGGCTCATACTGTGCTAAATATGTAAGACTAATGTGGTAATCTCTTATTCTCCTTAGAAAGTTGACTTACATTTTGTCTCACTATTTTCTGTCAATTAGTAAAATTGTTTGTGTTTTCAATTTTTTATATAAAATATAGTAAATGCTCCCAATATTCATGTTCAACCTGTATATGTGCATTTTTAAGAATCCCAATCTGTTTCTGAGTACTGTCTGCTTTCTCCAGTCTTCTGGAGCATAATACTGGCAAATCTAAAACTGGTTATAACTTCCCCCATTTTGGATGAAGCACATGCATTTTCCAGGCTCAGAAATCCCTCCAGGGTAGATTAAGTTGGCCAGATTATAGGCAGATATATCAAGGGGCTTTCATGCAGGGCAATTTATAAAGTTTGATTATTTATTTATTTAACAATTTATAAACTATTTCCCAACAAATATATTTGAAGCAGTGTACAATGAAGGAAAAGTCTGTAACAATTTGATTTTTCTGCCAGAATTGGGTACAATGTTCAGGCATGGCCGCCTCTTCTGAGGAAATGAAGCTTGCCAAATTTCAGACCGATAGCTTCAATTGTTCTCCCCAAAGGGCAGACTTTATCATTTTGGGGTGGGTACAATAAGAATCATATCCTCTAGATACATGGGGTAGAGGAAATGTCACGCCTTGGCAATGACTCTTTTACCACCAAGGCTTGTTGCTATGGGGTGGGCTTCTGTTCCTCCTCTCCATAGATTTTTGGAGATACAATGGAGACTTCTTCATGAACTTGCATAGAAACAGACATGTAGCTAGGTAAGTTTTTCATTCCTCCCTCAGATCACTATGAGTGCCCTGGGAAAATAATTACAGTGGTACCTCAGGTTAAGAACTTAATTCATTCTGGAGGTCCGTTCTTAACCTAAAACTGTTCTTAACCTGAGGTACCACTTTAGCTAATGGGGCCTGCCACGCCGCTGGCGCACGATTTCTGTTCTCATCCTGAAGCAAAGTTCTTAACCCGAGGTTCTATTTCTGGGTTAGCAGAGTCTGTAACCTGAAGTGTCTGTAACCCGAGGTACCACTGTATTGTGATTTAACAGCTGGATCTGTCTGTCAAAACAAAAGATTACTCATTTTCTCAGGGTGTTTCCCAAATCAGCTTGATTTCATTTCTCATGAGGAAAAAACAGACATGGGTTTTTTCTTTAGAAGCATAAGCCACAGAACTACTCAGAAGCTTAAGGAGTCCATCTGCCTCAAGACACTTTGCAATCTGACTTGGGAACATGGTAATTTCCCTCAAATCACCCTAATTTGCCTCATAATTTGTGGTACACCCAAAGCCAATGAATACCCTTAGTAAATGCCCATTTGCTTCAAATTCACACAATCAGTTTTAATTATTCAGATACTTATTTTCATTGTGAAAATGTTTTTAAAATAATTTTGACTAGTAACTTTCACTAACAAGTAACATTTAATAATTCAATAACAGCAATTTAAGAGACATTAACTAATAATGTGGTTGCTTATACTTTTTGTAGGTTTCATTCCTGATTTCCAAAATGATTCCAGATACCTTAATGTACCTGAGCCAAAGGCTTTAACAGCAATGAAAGAAACACAGATTCAAATATTTAAAACTTTTAAAGTTCAAAACTATTGTATATTTTGAAGTATTCTAATAACTAAACTAAATGAATTGCAGTTTAGAAATAATCATAGTTATACAGACACTTGATTCTTGTTGACTCATTTATTGGAGGGGATGTTAAAACTGGGATACTTCCATAAGAGATAAAAATATGAAATGTAGTACACAGAGTTCCAGACACTATGCCATAACTACTAGGAAAAAAATGTGGTTTTGTCTTTTGATCAAAATGTGGGACATGGAGCCTACAGGTGTGCCTCTTACTTTAAGAAAACGGGTTTAGGCATGGATCCTAAACAAGTGTATTAGTTTAAGCCTTATTGAACACAGTGCAGCTTACATCCTGGTCTAAGAAAACATGTATGATTTCTCTGATAGATAGATGCTGTTGAATATAGAGGTTATGCAGCATTCATGAGTAAAGATGGTGTTCATTCTGGTGCATTTAAATGGAGTGATTTAGCCAAAAGAAGGGATAATGAAGCAAACAAGTTACAAGTCCTATTGAGGACAGATAAGAATTGATAGAGCCTGAAGAAGAGTGAGCAGAAGTGACATGAATGTGATAAATGGAAGATAAAACCTTCATGACAAATGCCATCAGTTTTTTACAAATGAAAAATATTTTACAGTTTCTACCCAGGTAGGAGATTTATTGCTTTTCAGACATTATTACCTTGGTTTAAGAACAGCTTAGTTTATGAACAATTTGGATTAAGAACTCTGCAAACCCAGAAGTAGGTGTTTTGGTTTGTGAACTTTGCCTTGGAATAAGAACATGTTTTGCTTCCTGTTGAGTGTGTTCCATTTGTAAATTGAGTCCCCTGCTGCTATGGGAAAGCACACCTTGGTTTAAGAACGCTTTGGTTTAAGAACGGACTTCCAGAACGGATTAAGTTCATAAACCAAGGTACCACTGTATTTGGCATGCAGTAGTTACAGAAGAGTATATCTGTGGAGCCTTGTTCTTCTAACATGGACACATGTAGCAGAAGATGTATATTAAGGTGGATGTGGGAAATTAGGTAAGTGATAAAGGACTGGGCATCTTGAGCTTTTAGGGTGCAAATCTCTGCTTATATTACAGAGAACAACACAGGGCAGTAAATGTGTCCTCATTTTAAAACAATATGTTTAAATAATACTTCTCTGTACGTCAACGTGCATGGGTCACTTCTATTTTGTTCTTTCCCATACTAAAAAGCTACACTAAAAAGCCAAAGTAAACTACATAATGCTATCATCCTTTCTTCTTTAATAAGACAGTGCTGTTTTTTTGGAAAATATAGAGCCAGCTATTAGTCTCCTGTGGATTCTTTGAGGTCTACTGGAAGGGTGTTTGGGGTATCTTCTAAATGTTATTGGATAAAAGCTGAGACTAGATATCCCACTGTTTTTAAAGAGCATGCTGAGGCAAACCACTGTTAAGTTGTGCAAGACTGCACATTTCTTTATTCTCATTTCTCAGCTCACATCCTGAAACACATATGGTCAGTGTTTTTGTTTTGACTCTTTCTGATGATTTTTTAAAAAAAAAACCAATGTGAGAGAATACTTTAAATGATCTAATCTTTGTTTGAGGGTATTTTGCATGTGAAAGAAGGAAAATGTAGACATGCTGAGGGGTGTTTTAACCATTCACATCAATATTCACTGACACATCTTCACCAATACCCAGATAATACTTTTAAAGAAACAGTGATTGCCTAGTATAACAGGCAAAGGTGTCTCTCCTCTAGGTTGTGCAGTGGGCTCTGTCACTGCTGAGACGACAGCTGTACCTGCCAATAGTGTGGGCAGCTGGGAAGGCAGCAATGTTCCCACCATGTTAGAAGAGTCCCACTGAGTTTAGTGGAACTTTGTTAGGTCAATAGGTATAGGACTGCAAGCTTAATCTTCCAGTCTAATGTTACTCATATTTCACAGACTTCCATCTTTAGCATCTCCCTAAAAGGGGTATGTGCGTTAGGGTTAGATTTCTTCTAGACATGTTGGACTATGAAGAGAGCATAGGGATTTGTCAGAGAATTAATCAGAATAATCTAGGTAAAATGGCCAATCCTTTCTACAAGCCCAAACTAGGCAATGTTTTTGGTGGTTCTCTACTTCAGCAATGAGAAGAGAATTCTATGATTTGAGAACTGTTGTCCAATAGAACTATTTAAACAAGTACCGGTATTCTCAGAAAGGATATAATCTATTATTACATGGTTCTGAAAGCTTTGAAACATATTTGAAACAGTATATCAAAATTCTCAAGACCCATAAAGACCCAAATTAATAATGATCCGCTGCTGCAACATGCATACAGTGCAGTATCTTTGTTATATTGCCGTGCATTGTGACTTCACAGTCCTAACTATTTATGATGTACCAATAAAATGCTTGACATATTCCCATGAATTTACAATGACAGTGAGATGAGGTAGAACTCAGATGTAGAACATAGTGAAGTGGAAGGTTCTGAAGGGTGAAGCAGTGGCGGAACTTCATGCTCCGGCACCGGGGGGGGTGGAGTGCAGGCAGGGGCGGGGCTGGTGTGCGTCCTGGGAGCAGGGCGTGCTGCCCGCAGGGGCGTGGCACACCGCCTGTGGGGGCGTGGCGCCCAGTGCTGGGGGGGGGGCAAGCCGCGATGGAACCCCACTGGGATGCGCTGCCGGGGGCGGAGCGCTCCCCCCGCACTCCTCTTCCTCCACCAGTGGGGGGAAGATACTTTTCTCAGCATCAGGAAACCAATGTAG